TAACTAACCCTAACTAACCCTAACTAACCCTAACTAACCCTAACCTAACTAACCCTAACCCTAACTAACCCTAACTAACCCTAACCTAACTAACCCTAACTAACCCTAACCTAACCCTAACTAACCCTAACTAACCCTAACTAACCCTAACTAACCCTAACTAACCCTAACTAACCCTAACTAACCCTAACCCTAACTAACCCTAACTAACCCTAACTAACCCTAACTAACCCTAACTAACCCTAACTAACCCTAACTAACCCTAACTAACCCTAACTAACCCTAACTAACCCTAACTAACCCTAACTAACCCTAACTAACCCTAACTAACCCTAACTAACCCTAACTAACCCTAACTAAATACCCATTCAAACCTACGCATTGATTGATACCGGTTGCTCCGGGTTCGCATTCATTGATGAAACATTCGCGCGCCATAACAACATCCCATTTCTTCCACTCAAATCACCCCGTACTCGAAGTCATCGACGGACGGCCTATATCCTCCGGACAGATCACCCATCTCTGCTACCTACCGTTATCAATCGACTCCCACCATGAAACTATCCCCTTCTTCGTCACCAAACTTGGCTCATACCCACTTGTACTGGGACTTCCTTGGCTCCAATTACATGATGTTACATTACAGTTTAAGGACAATAGTATACAGTTCGACTCCAAATACTGTAAGCGTAAGTGCAACTCCCCTGTCATACCCGTCCCCATTATAGGGATCACACCACCACCCCGTTTCCAACTCGTCAGTTCAGCTGCTCTCTGTCGCTTCGCTCGAAGGGACAAGCTCCAAATCTTCAGCACAACTATCAAGGAAATAGACCAAGCGATGGGCGAGCCCCTTAAGGAAGACTGGAGAAACCGAGTCCCAACCCGATACAAGAGGTTCCATGAGATGATGGACAAGGAGTTCGCTGACGAGATGCCACCTCGCCGCTCCTATGACCATAAAATACCGCTCAAGGAGGGAAAAGAACCCCCGTTTGGGCCACTTCATGGTATGTCCCGTGAGGAGCTCATCGTGCTTAAGCAATACATACAGGACAATCTCCAAAAAGGCTTTATTCAGGCCAGTTCTTCACCTGCCGGTGCCCATGTCCTATTTGTTAAAAAAGCCGATGGAACACTCCGTCTCTGTGTCGATTATCGTGGCCTCAATGAACTCACTGTAAAAAACCGCTATCCGCTGCCACTCATCCGGGAAACTCTTCACCACCTCTCCAAAGCCAAGTGGTACACCAAGGTTGACCTTCGCCAAGAGTATAATCAGATCCGAATGGCTAAGGGTGAAGAATGGAAAACAGCCTTCTGTACGCGTTACGGACATTTCGAATATACGGTGATGCCCTTCGGTCTCACCAATGCGCCGGCCACCTTCCAACACTTTATTAATGATTGCGTCCGTGACTACCTTGATATGTTCTGTACAGCCTATCTTGACGATATTCTCATCTACAGCGACACCTTCGAGGAACATCAAGTACACGTCGAAAGGGTCTTGGAAGCCCTACAAAGAAATGGAGTACTGCTGAAATCAGAGAAATGCGAATTTCATACACAAAGCACCACCTATCTCGGCCTCATCATCGAACCCAATGGCATTAAAATAGATCCAAGGAAAGTGGAGACAGTGAAAAATTGGACCGTCCCCAAAACAGTTCAGGATGTGCAAGCATTTCTAGGTTTCGCTAATTTTTACCGTCGATTCATACGCAGGTTCTCGGAACTTGCTTCCCCCCTTATCAGACTGACACGCAAGGACATATCGTTCGAATGGACACCCAGAGCCCAAACTGCCTTCAACGCCTTGAAAGAAGCCTTTACCACCGCTCCCATCCTTACCCATTTCGACCCAGACAAAGAAATTACCGTGGAAACCGATGCATCTGACTATGTCTCTGCCGGTGTACTCTCCCAACACGATGATAATGGTACCCTTCGGCCCGTCGCATACTTCTCAAAAAAGCACTCCCCCGCCGAATGTAACTACGATATTTACGACAAGGAATTACTGGCGATTATTCGATCCTTCGAGGAATGGCGACCGGAACTCGAAGGGGCTGCACACCCAATCGCCGTCATATCCGACTATAAGAATCTCGAGTACTTTATGAGTACAAAACAACTCAACTGGAGACAAGCCTGGTGGGTGGAGTATTTATCACGGTTTAATTTTGTTATCAAGTACCGAGCAGGGAAACAAGGAGGGAAACCGGACACATTGACAAGGAGATCAGGAGATCTCCCTGAGGAGGGGGTGAAAAACAAGTACACCAGAGTCAAGTCGTATTGAAAAAGGAGAATCTTGAAGCAAAGTTAAGTTTGTTGGCGGGTTCTTTCTCAAATGAGCCCGCTGAAAAGAACGCCTCACTGCATAGTCTATTCGATGAAGGATATAGCACTGACCAGTTTCCACAAAAGATACTGGATATGCGGAACAAAGATGAGCGACAATCAAAGGACATATCACTCGCCGAATGCACCGAAGTTGAAGGCCGGTTGCTTTAACGAGGCAGCATATACGTACCCGACTACGACCCCTTCAAGCTCCGAATCCTCCAACCCTACCATGACGCTGCCTCCGCCGGACACCCTGGACGCGAAAAAATATTCGAACTCATCAGTTGAGACTACTACTGGCCCCTTATGCGGAATTATATTGCCCGCTACGTTCGGAACTGCCACACCTGTCAACGGAGCAAACCCAACACCCATGGAAAACTCGGCGTACTTTGACCGTTACCAATTCCCGAACAACCATGGCAGGAGGTATCAATAGACTTCGTCACTGGCCTACCGGAGAGCGAAGGGTACGATGCGATTATGGTGGTTGTTGACCGGTTAACAAAGATGCGACATCTCCTGCCCTGTAATACCACTGTCAACTCCGAGGATGTCGCCCAACTATACTTGCGGAATATATGGAAGCTCCACGGGCTACCCACACACGTCACCTCCGACCGCGGTACGCGATTTACAGCCAAGTTCTGGAAGGCTCTCTGCAAACACCTCGACATCGAAGCAAGAATGTCCACCGCCTTCCACCCGAAGATGGACGGCCAAACTGAAAGACTGAACGCCGTAATGGAGCAATATCTACGTGGGTATGTCACTTATCAACAGGATGATTGGGTAAAATGGGTCCCTATGGCAGAATTCTCCGCCAATAATCAGGTCTCCACGTCTACCAAAGCTACACCATTCTTCGCAAACTATGGTTTCCACCCTCGGTTCACAGTGACAATCAAATCGCTTGACAAGACCCAATCAAGCCTTAATGCTAAGGACTTTGCGTTGAAGATGAAAGAACTCCACGAATATCTACGTGCCAATATCTGCACGGCGCAAAACCAACCAGAACAGGCCGTCAATACCAAATGAACGCCGGCTCCGCGGTATGACATTGGCGATATGGTGTTTGTTTCAGCAAAAAACATCCGAACTACCCGTAACTCTCAGAAGTTGAACTGGAAGAAACTGGGACCATTCCCCGTCAAGGAAATCATATCGCCGTATGCGTACCGAATTGACGTGCCTAGGAGTATGAAGGTGCACCCCGTCTTCCATGTATCGTTGCTAAACCGCGCTGCAAATGACCCCGTCCCGGGATAAATTCAACCACCACCCCCGCCTATTATCGTTGAACAGGAAGAGGAGTACGCGGTCGAGGAAATCTTGGACTCGAGGGAAACAAGAAATAACGGCCTGCAATACTTTGTTAAGTGGACCGGTTATATCGACCCCACCTGGGAGCTGGCCACTTACCACGAAAACACCGCCGCTGTTGATGTCTTCCATACATGCTACCCCGATAAACCTGGACCATTGGAAGGGAAGCTTAAGGTTAAGGCTCGCAGGAGCTCGCGTTTGAAGGGGGGGGCTACTTTCATGGATCGCCTAGTGAATACATTGGGTTACGAGGAGTTGGATTAGTCAGAAGGGTTCTATTTGGTTCTATTGGGTTCTGTGGGTTGTAAGCGTGTGAGTCACTTTGGATTTGTCATCGCTAGGATTTCCTTGGGTATATTAAGGGGTTTTCACTTTCGTTTCTTGTTCTTTTCCTTCTCTTTCTTTTACTACGCAATGTCTTCTGTATCTACATTGTCTATTGCTATATAATATTATCGTTCTCTTCTTTACTCGAGAAGACCACCGCTTCGCTTCCTCTCGTCCGGTTGACCATTACCAACGCTAGAGTCCCTCAGGACCCCTATTGCGGGTTCCCATACTGTCCCCTACTACACTCTTCGTACCGTGCGGAACACTCGCTACTCGCCTCCTTGAGATCTTGGCAGTTTTAGTTACTACACTACTTTCATCGACGATTATTCCAGGTACGCTCACCTCTACTTCCTTAAAAAGAAATGAGATGCAGCAGCTGCTACAGAACGGTATATCATATACACGGAAAATCAATTGGATAAGACAGTCAAACGGTTCCAAAGTGACAATGGTGGCGAGTGCATCTCCAACGACCTCCAACAATTCTGCCTCTAAAGGCATAAAGCATGAATTCCCTGTACCCTACTCTCATGAGTCAAATGGAACAGCAGAATGCTTTAACAGAACAATAGCAACAATGGCACGATCCGCCTTGCTCAATCACGACCTTCCACGGAATCTATGGGCAGAAGCAATCAATACAATAGTATACATCAAGAATCGTCTCCCACATAAAGCACTCCCGAATATGACACCATACGAAGCACTCACCAGCAAGAAACCCTTCATTGGACATCTCCGGTCCTTCGGAGAATCAATATTCATTCATATACCTGTCGAAGTACGATCAACTGGAATAGAGTTGGATGCTAGGGCAATTATGGGACAATTCTGCGGCTATGAAAACTCTGATAAAATCTGACATGTTTATATACCATCACAAAGGAAAGTAGTTCTCTCTCGTCATCTTAGGTTTAAAGGTCCGTCTATAGGTGAAGAAATCAAAACAATGAAAACCAACATACCCCCTAAACCAAAACAAATCAAGATCAAACAAGAACCACCCTCACATCCACCAACATCACCTGCGAAACTCTCAGAGTCCGAAATCGAAGACTTGTTCAACCAACAAATGCTTCGGGAGACTATGGAACACATTAACGATGATTCTGAAGAAGAAGAAGAAAAAGATGCAAGTAAAGTGGGGGCCGGCTTTTCGAGGCTCACTTCTGAACATACCCCGCACAATGATATTGAAACAGATACTGATCAACCGAGACGTAACCCAGTACAGAAATGGAAACCTCCGGTCATATACGGATACAAAATTCAGTATAACACCACCATTGCAGAACCAACAAACTATCACCAAGCGATCAACAGTCCTGACTCCGGAAAATGGTAAAAGGCTATGAAAGTCGAACTCGACTCACTCGCAAGGAATAATACATGGAATCTTGTTGACACACCAGATCACTGAAAACTTGTCGACTGCAAATGGGTATATAAAATCAAACTCAGGCCCGATGGCAACCCTATTCGGTAAAAGCCCGTCTCGTCGCGAAAGGATTCTCACAGGTACCTGATCAAGATTTTGATCAAACTTATGCTCCCCTCACCTGATACAAATCCATCAAACTAATTCTTGTTCGCTGTCTTCAAACCGGCGGCCAATGCGATCAGATAGATTTTACTAGCGCTTTCCTATCCGGTGAACTCCAGGAAGAAATCTACATGAAATCTCCACCTGATTACCCTACAGCTGGCAAAGCATGCAGACTTATCAAATGCATCTAGGGTCTCAAACAGTCAACTCAGGAATGGTATGCTCGTCTCTCCAAAACACTAATCAAGATAGGATTCAGAAAAGTGGACTTCGACCCTTGTGTTTTCATTCACAAAACAGGGGAAGTTGTCATCGCCATCTACGTGGACGATATCCTTATCTTCTACTGATCAGTTGAACGCAAGAACTGCATCAGCCTCCAATTCTACGCAGAATTCGAAATGACGGAAACTGTCACAGCCAACTGGGCACTCGAAATCTACTTGATTCATACTAAGACCGGCGTCATGCTATTACAAAAAGCCTATGTCAAGCGTGTAGTCATTAAATACAGTTTCAATGAATCTAGACCTCTGGCAACATCTATCGACAATAATGTTCAACTACAAAACGCAACAGAAGCGGAGAAAATCGACGATCCAACAATGTATCAGTCAATAATCGGTTCATTAATGTATGCAGTAATCGGTACCAGACCAGACCTCGCTTACACCGTTACCATGCTCTAACAATATTCTTCCTGCCCCACTAAAGCTCACCTGGCTGCAGTTTAACACCTCCTTCATTACCTCAAGAGTACCCTCGATTGGTTACTCATCTACTCAAAAACGCCACCCATTGCACTCATCGGCTTCAGTGACACGAGCTATGCCTCTGACAACGACGATCGCTGCTCATTCACTAGCCACTGCTTTATGCTAGGGGAAACTCTCATTTCCTAGCACCATTATAAGCAGCACTCCGTCGCCACATCTAATACTAAGGCAGAATACATGGGTATTTCGGACACCAGTCGACAACTGATATGGTTAAGGAATGCGATACACAAATTGGAACGGAAAGTGAAACTTTCTTTTATTCTTCGCGGTGATAATAATGGTTCTCTGTCCTTGGTTAAAAATCCTGTCTTTCATAAAAGGTCTAAACATATTGATGTGCATTTTCATTTGTTCGGGAACGATACAAGGATAAATTGTTTGAGTTGGAATATATTTCTACGAACAAAAATGTGGCGGATTTACTTACAAAGGGATTGCGTAAGGGCAAGAATGTTTTATTTTCTTCTACTATCTACTGTGGCTTATGAGGGGAAGTCTTGAAATAGCACGCTCAGAACATTTCACAGTATTGGAGGATTTTCATTTGTCATCATGAGTCACGGATTCCGACTCATTTTCTCTCTACTATTTATTAGTCATGTTTTTCTACTACTCATACAGTTATGATTCACTATGTTTTGTGTTACCTTTCTTTAGTATAAATATGGGGCATTCCCCCCTCTAGTTAGTTGGAATAACACACTCAATTACTACACTTTTCTACATACATTTTCTCTAGAGGCGATGTTTGTTAACCAAGGGCGCCTTGAGTAGATTAATAGGTATCTCCGAAGCATCACTCGAGAGGGTAGTATTCCCACCACCAGCCGTTCTCCTTGAGGTTACGACGTCAGCGGGGCTCGGTGGAATGGTTATTCTGGAAGATACTAAATTATTAGTTTCGATCGACAGATTCGATGAATGGACTGACATTATGATGAGATCTTTTGATAGATACTGCTGATAGTGAAAAGATATCGTGGCCCTGAAGTAATCCCACGCAGCCGGAAACACCCCGTCTTATAGCTGCTTGGCGCGTTTACTCATGAAACTTGCGCTGACATTTTTTCCCCGACGTTACATACACATGCAAACCATTGCCGCCCTAGATGATTGGTTAGGCTTTGCTGCGACTACAAAGACTACTTCGTCCACCTCTGATTCGCTGTTCTCAAACTACATTATATTGAAGGAAGCGCTGGTATATCTCTTTTCTCCGATTGGCAATGGTTTGTGGCTGAGTCGATGCCTAAGACGTTACTAGTGTGGGTGGATTTCAAACTGTGCCTGTCTAGTCCACGGGTGGTGAGCGCCCGGTGATCGGGGGTTTGGTGAATATCATGATATATCCTTCACAGGCATCGCCGCCTGGTACGTATCGGCTAATGTGAGAAAGAGCAGGAGCTGATGATTGTATATGTGGGGACAGAACTCATGTTTTATAGCAAAGGATCAATCAACTAAAAATTCATTAGTTTTCCCAACCTATATCAGTATAATCAACTAAAAATCATTGGTCATCTCGAGCTATATCAGTATAATTAACAGGTAGATCATAAGTACAGGATGATCGAAGTCGGAATATCTCAAGTCCTCCGCTCACCCTCCACCACATTCCTAGTCTACGGACCCGTATGAATGAACGGCGCCCACTGCAAATACTTTCCCGGTTTCTTCTCCCTCAACTTCCTCACCGCCGCATGAACCTCCCTACCCACGTTCCCATGCCCCCCTACGCGATACAACCCTTTATAAAAGTCTTCTGCCACCTCCATACACGCCCTGTCGCCCCCCGTCCACATCGTCGCCACCACATGCGCAAAACCCGCCAACTGGAACGCCCCCGCCAGGTGTATGCTTTCATCCGCCAGCTCCACCGCCTCGCCGCTGTCCGCCGTTTTGCACGCCGACAGATACGCCAGCCATGCCCTCAATGAATTGATAGCAGCCACCTTCTCCACCAGTAATCTACTCACGCTCTTGCCATCCTCGCTCAGTAGCAACAGAGCGCTCTTGGACGGGTCTGCGCTGTCGGTGACCCCGTGACATGCAAAATGCATTACGTCGTAGCGTTGGAGCTCGTCCAGTACGCGTGATGCACTCGGCTGTGGAAGCACCGTGGCCTTTGCACCCGCTCCCTCTGCGATGACTTTGAGGTTTGCCGCCTCCTTCGTCACTTTTTTGAGCTGGCCTTCACCGGGAGTGGTGTCCATTGTGACTAGAAGGAGGCTGTGCTGCGAATCAGGGTTCTTCTTCTTCTCGTCCTTCTCGTTGTCAGTCAGGCTTGTGGCAGTGGGCGCCTTCTGACGGGCGTATGAAAGTGCCTTGAGAGTTGGGATATACGATGAGACCACACGGCTTATGGTGTTTCTGTTTGAGCCGGGGGAATGGTCGCCGGCGGCATGGAACGGCGCGCTGCTCAGCGCGCCGACACCAATCCACCATATGTGCGGGAGGAGTGCGGCATTCGATTCGATCTCTGGCGACGGGGCATGAATCTGGAGCTCCTCCAGGGTTGGCTCGACCACGGCATCCCAGAGCCAGAGGAGGAAGGGCCCCATCTTCTCGTTCCGATCTTTATATGTGGCGATGGGCCCTTCGACCAGCCCCCGCATCTCCTCGAGACGGCGTGCTATACTGTCTAGCCCCTCCTCGTCCAGCTTGGGGAGAGCGATTGATTTGATCCCCGCGGTGGTGATGATTATGGCATCGTTCCTGAAACCCGGGTTCACCACCACCACCGGCCCAGACTCTGCCAGCTTCATCATCGTCTCCTCCCCTGGTGGTAGTAGGAATCCCTCGTGGCCCTCGATGCCCCTGATCTCCCCCAACAATTCATCCATGCCGTTCACCAGCCTCTGTCGCCTCGGCGTGCCATAATAACGCCGCCCCCCAGCTGCGGCCAGGAGTGTCCCCAGCTCCTGCTCAGACTCGTCCTGCACCGGCGAGTCCAGAGCCCGTCGCAGCTTCTCAAACCTGTCCGCCAGCTCAGGGTGGCTTGTGCGCAGGTCCGACATGTCACTGCGGTTATCAATGGTGTACCCAAGCATAACGCCTCTCCCAAACTCGAGCATCCTCAGCGCATGGCCGGCCCCTCTGTCCGCCTGCAGTGCCAACGTCGCCGCAACGGCCCCAATGCCGGCCACACTCTTCAACGCCTCCTGCTGGTCGCCGCGCTCCATTGACCGCGGATTCATCCTTGGAAGGAGCATCACCGCTTCGTCGGCCATCTTGCTGGCCTCCTCCCACATACTGCTCATCGCCAACAATGCCGCCGCCTGTCTAGCACAGTACACCCGCGTCCTGGGGCGTGAGAGCACGCTCTCCCACCCTTTGATGTATGCCTGCGCTGCACGAAGGCCCTCTTCCTCGATGTTGGGAGCCATCAGGCACGCTGCCAGGGTCAGGTGGGCATCCGCACCCAGCGTCGGCACCGACGCCTCGACCGCCATCTCGGCGCATTCTATCGCGAGCGCCAGGTCCCCATCGTCATGTGTGTGATCCTCATATAGCGCTAGACGGGCCCTAGCCAGCATGAGATTGAGCTCGGCGTGCTTCAGGTGTCCCGGGGGCATTGTCTCTGCGCAGAGCTCATTCATCTCGATGGCCAGGGCCAGGTGCGCGGGGTCGTTGGTCTCTCGGTGCAGGAGGAGATGGATAACGTTCAAGTGGAAAAGCGCCTTGGTGCGCCAGGGGTTGTTCGAGTGCATCTGGGCAAGTGATTTCTCCATCAGTGCCTGCGCCTTTTTGAGGTCGTCGAGTTTGTTCAGCCGTCTGTAAAGCTTGAGACAGCGGAAGCCCTGGCTAATGAGGAGGCCGGCGTACTCGGGACGATCGGGCGGACAGGCCTTCACCGCGGCCTCCGCAAGCTCCACTGTGAGGTTGAGGTCACGTACGGCATCTGTGCTATCGTAGCGCAGTCCAATGAGCTCCCCGATGCCCACCATGAGGCCGACACGGGAGAATCCGCCCGGCGGCGTGAGGTCAAGTGCCTCCTTGGCCGCTGTGATTGCGCTCTCGAGGTCGGCCGAGTCGCTGGTCCGCTCGTAACGCAGCCCCAAGGCTTGACTGAGGGCCAGGAGAACTGAGGGGCGGAGCGGATGGGGTGCAGGGGCGCAGGCGGCGGCGACATTACTGGTGGCGATGGCTGCCTCGAGGTCGAACTCTGCGCTGGTGTGCTCGTAGCGGTGGATGAGCTTGGTGGTCAGGCCCATCAGTGTGTGCGGGTCGTCCGGCGTGAGACTCATCTCCCTGGCGGTCAGCTCGATTGCTTCCTCAAGGTCGTCGAGGGAGGTGAGGTGTTGGGACTGCACCTCGAGGTAGGTGCCCAGACTGCCGTAAATCGAGGTATAAGGCCCTGGCCCTCGCCCTCGCCCTCGCCGGTCCCCTCCTCCCTCCCCCTCCTCCTCCGCCGCCTGATACGCCTCGTCGTTGGCCTCGGCCGCAGAGCGGCCAAATGCTACTGCCATGCGGAGGGCCTCGGGGTCGTGCGTGTTTTGCCAGCGAGCAAAGAATCGAGCAGCCAGGCCTCCGAGCACGCCAGCGTTCCGGGATCCAGCTAGATCTGCGGCCTCCTGCTGTAGCTTTCTGTAATCATCCTCCCCTTCGGCCCGTCCTGCAGGGCCCCACCGATTCCTCCTCTCATACTCATGTCCCCGTAGCTCCATCTGGAGCATCCTGTGCTCATCGCTCCCCGGCACGAGCTTCGACAGCTCGGTCTCCGCATCATCGATAGCACTGTCCAGATCCGCCACATCTCCAAACCGGTGAAAGCGCTTGTGGAGCAGTCGCCTGAGCAGATCCCCCCTTCTGTACTCCACCTCGGTTTTTCTCGCCATCTCCAGGCCATCTCTACACATGTCTATCGCCGTGTCGATGTCTCCCCGCTCCCCCTTCAGTTCGAACCGCTGCCCCAGGAACAAAGCAGTGAGCAGAAGGAGATCGGCCCATGACTCCCACAACGGGTCGGTAAGCCTAGTCAAGGCCGTGGCGTGCCCAAGGGCAGTATGCAGGTCGTCCTCACACTTTAAGCGCTTATACCGCTCTCTGAGCATCTTGCACAGGTCCCACAGGTATGTGATGGCGTTGGGGTGGTTGCTGGGGACGGAGTTCTTCGCATCGGTAATCAGCTCAATAGCCGCGGTGAGGTCGTTGGGGTCCTTGGTTAGTTGGTAGCGCTTGGTGAGGAGCCCGCCGAGAATGAAGCGGGTCCCGGAGTCGATATTGTTACTATCATCGGAGTTACAATTGCTCTTGCTAAGCTCGGCGAGCACCTCCTCCGCATAGGCGATGGCCATATCGAGGTCGGTGGGGGACTTGCGGAGATTATAGCGCTCGCTGTGATAGATTCCTAGGTTAATTCTGAGGTTGCGACAGAGAGCGCCGGCATCCTCCTCCTCCTCCTCCTCCTCCTCCTCCTCCTCCTGCTCCTCCTCCTCGGCATTGACCAGCGGCCTCCCGGATACGCCTTTACCCGTGTGCATCCTGATAGCTTCCAACACCTCACGGCGACTCCTTCCCGGCTTCTTTTTCATGTTCAGCGCCGCCCCAGCAATCTTGATGGCGAGGTTGAGATCCTGGGCGGGATCCGTTTCTAAATCACCCACCTCCACGGCATACCCGCGCCAGCGCTGGTGGTGGAAGAATGCCAGCGTCTGCAGTCGCCTCCTGTAGCTGGGATGCTCCGGGGACGTGCACCGCAGCGCTAGATACCCGTGGTCGATGGCGGGAAAGACGAGCTGTGCTGTGTCTGTCAACGAGAAGAGATTAGTGTAGTAGTCCGACAGCGCTCTTTCAAGAGCGGGGGGCAGTGGGGTGGCCGCAGGGGCTTCGAGCTGGGCAATGGCCTCAAGAAGGTCGTGAGCGTTTTGGGTGATAAGGAAGTGCTCGAATCGCAGGCGAGACATGTAATGGTAGGCGGAGGGCGGCAAGGAGGAGTGACCCGCAGATTGGCCATGGTGAGAGGCGGTGATGGCGAGGGCTAGGGCAGCTCGGAGCCTGCTGGGGTCGCGGGTCACGAGGGCTTCGGTGGTGAGGGAATTGCTCGCAGCGAGTAGGAGATGGCTTGTGTCCGCCGAGCTCGAGGGGGTAGAGATAGTATCCATATTCAGCGTAAGTGTGGAGGCAAGCAAGTAGCGGTATAGTGCGGTTAAGTGTAGAGAAAATAACAGATAGTCGGGGGAATTTGAGTATATATGGGGAATGATCTCTAGAAACCGTTATCCACTTTACTTCCTCTCACCCACGGTGGGAGCCTAGTATAGGGCGCACAGTCTTAAAGGTGGCATTGAACCAATGGGGCGCGCAAGTCGGGTATGGATGGATTGAAGCTGTCCAGGTGCTACCGTAACGGGCTCTATTTCTGTTGATCGGCTCTGATATCGATCATCACTTCCTCTAAGGGTGGTGATTTTCGGCATTCTTTCCTGTCAAAACCCCGCCTTATGCAATAGATGTTGGTTGTAAGTAAGCTGATTGGTCTACCTAAAGCAGCGTGTTAGGCCTCCAACGATAATTAGTCTTCGTTCTTGTTGCGGGTCTTGGTGCGGTGGATTCTATAAGATGATCCAAAGTAGGTACTCCGGATCCCCTCCCTAGCCAGAGCAACAGACCGCACCATCGAGTCTACGGGGTAATTAAACCATCAGTACAGAGTCACCACTACCATGTCACAAGCACCTAACCCTACTCCGAATAACTGCATCGAGTTACTGCGAGGAAGCGTAAATGCCCTGGTTCACCTCCTGTCCCCCCCACAGCGCGAAAACATGTCGTATGAGGAAATGAAAGCAGCCTTACACACCATCACGGTGACGACTGAAACGGCGTCTAGACTGGCCGAGGTCGCCCACCTCTACGCGTTAGCCGACCACAACTCGAGCCAAGGCGGGCCAGGGGGCGATGTTCGCGGCAGAGAGGATGTTGCGGCGGCGGAGGGGGAGAGGTTTAGGGCCGAGAAGATCAAAGTGGGCGCGGAGACAGAGAAGCTTAGGGTCGAGACGGAGAGGTGCAGCGCTGGCACGGTCAAAGTGACCGCCGAGACAGAGAAGCTTAGAGCCGAGGCGGAGAAGTTTAGGGCCGAGGCGGAGAAGATTGGTGCCGAGATGGGCAAAGTGACTGCGGAGACAGAGAGGCTCAGAGCTGAGGCTGAGAAGTGTAGTGCTGGGACGGGCAAAGTGGTGGCGGAGGCGGATAGGTTCAGGGCTGAGGCGGATAGGTTAAGAGCTGAGACGGATAAGGTTAGGGCTGAGACGGGAAAGGTGGCCGCAGAATCGGGGAGGGTTACAGCGGAGGCGGAGAGGTGTACTGCTGGGACGGCCAAAGTGACCGCGGAGACTGAGAGGTTTAGAGCTGAGGCGGAGAGGTTGAGAGCTGAGACGGTCAAGGTGACTGCGGAGTCCGAGAAGCTTAGAGCTGAGGCTGAGAAGTTTAGAGCCGAGACGGTAAAGGCTAAAGCCAAGTCAGGCAAGTGACCGGCCAGTGCACTTTGATGGACAACTTCAGGATGGAGCCGGAAAGGGTGAAACAGAGTGGATGGAGAGAGTGGATGGAGGGATAAAGAGGCTTATATAGGGTAGCTGTAGGGGAAGTGAAGACTTCCACAGAGCATCGGAGTACTGTACGAAGCTACATGTACATAGGTCCATAGTGGTCGTATGAGGTCCTCAAACAGATTCATAATAACTCCACGGGTTTGTTTCAAGCTTTGAACTCCAAAGGATGTCCATCTTAAGCTTGCGGAAAACCCATTCAACGTAAATCACCAAAGTTTTTCAAAAGGGATATCGGCCCCAGTTATTAGTTGATTGATTCTGATGAGGAAAGTTTTTTTTCCCGTTGCCATTATCTCCAAAGAAAAAAAACGTCCGAATTGAGATACTCATGGGTCATCACTCGATCTGCTCTTATTCTTTCAAGACCGACCCCGTTTAAATACATGTGCTCTAGTGTCCGCAATGCGCCACCATACTCTACATAGATGGATCAATTATATTAGTATGAGTTGTAAATGGCGATCCCCCCATCTCATCCTGGCTGGCCAGCTCCACAAAGCAATGTCAGGGTCATTATCCGCGGAGGCGGTTCCTGCATATGGTCTTTAGGTCAAGAATAGCCGAACTGAAGTGGCGCTCCATGCAGTGATCGCCTGCATGGGCAATGGTATCACAAAGCAAGAGGGGTCTAAGGGGCTCTATGAAGTCTCCGGCCATATGCATTCATGCCAACAATCGACCATCGCATCCATTCTGCAGAAGCCAAGGTACCTTGAGCTTATGTTCGGCTTCGACTCGAGATGGCTCATGGATGCCTCATTCAAGACCTAACTGTGACAGTGTCGCGGGTTTTAAATTTTCTCTTAGGAAAGGTACGTATTAAGGGTCTTCACCTCTTATCACCATCATCAATATTACATACAGGTGGCGCTATTATCTACAACTGACCTTATTGCAAGCCTAGTGCCTACCCGCACTGCGGCGGAGGTGCTTGAATTGTCTAACCCGGCCAATACCTACACTACGGCACACTAAGGCGCTGAATATGTGGAAGAGCTGGTCATCCGGAGGTGTCCGCCTATATCCTGGGCCGGGTAAGTATGTAGCCTTTCTGGACTACATGCATAGCAGGGTCGTCCTGTGGCCGCGTGGGCCAACCGCCCTTCTGCCGGCCTCTGTATATATACCATTCTATATACTCACCAGTTCGCAGATCCACAGAGCCGCCCACCCACAAGCTGGTGACATCGGGTGTTGGTCACGGGCGGTCACTCGTAATCTTTGGAGTACATATTTATACCCTGCTATTTATCGTTTGGACCTCTCTATGGTCGATGGCTAAAAGCCTGAAGTCACGGGATGACATGATGTAGGTAGACCTTTAACCTATATACTGCTTTAGCAAGCTATGGGAGAGCGGTAGGCATATATTATGCTGTTCCCGGGGTCGCATAGATAAGTAGGTTTATTTCACAGGCGTTGTCCCTTATGCTCTCAGTATATTGCTGACCCCACCTCCTCTCCTCCCCCCCCGAAAAAAAAAAAGAGAAAGAGGAAAAGGATTATAAGGAACAGATCCGTTATCTTTCTTATCGGGTAGAGAGTTTTAGCTGCGCTAGTTGAACAGAGAGTCGGACAGGTTAGACAAATTCTTTTTAGGCAAAGACCTACAAGAATTCAGCCAATAAGAGGTGCAGTACCGTCTGTCCAAGTGCTCGACTAACTCGCGCAGCGAAACCTCACCAATAATATGTCTGCCTCTGCAACCCCCCCCTGCTAAGAGCCGAAAGTAAGGGATAGCATTGATCCCTGCACATGCTTCCCATCGGCACGAACCTTGACAGGAGCCTCAGTCGTGGAATGCCTGAAGTTCTTGGCGGGGTGAAATACTGGTAATAATATATCATTGAACTTTCGAGTATTTCTTCCGTATCCGCAAAGTGGTATACTACATCTACACTACATCTACCTTTATTCTTCAAATCCTCGCACTTGGTCACTAAGCTACTTTTATATATCTATTTCAAAACAAAATTTGGTTTATCTACTCCGGGGTCGTGTCGTTCTTCTCCGGAAATGGCACAATACAGAGGTCTACACATTATCCCCCCCATCGCGGTCGTCTTTTCATGCGAGTAGATTACAGTGTTTTCTAACAAGTGGGAAAATGTCGTTAGACATTGGCATGGACTCGCTGTCCTTCATCATCAACCATGTTTTCCTCCCACCAAAGCTCCCACAGGAGGCCGAGGCCGATCTCGGAGAGAGAAATCCTACCCTATTGAGGGTTGTGCGGGACATCGCCGAATCTTATCACGAGAGGAGGGTTCACGACAGGGATGAGCAGTGGACGCCAGCCGTCAAGATGCTCACGACACTTGGCCAGCTCGTGAATAATAACTCCCTTGACCCGAGGGCCTTCCGCAAGTCGGTGAGGCATATGAAAAGGGGAGGTAGATTGATACTGTCCCTCTCTACCCCCAAGCGAGCGGATGCTGATTTGTGGAAACAGATGTGTTAGCACTCCATATTGGCGCGCAGAATGCCGGCCTCATCCTACGTCAGCTAGAGGATACGATGGTGTTTGAGTCCTTCGAAGCATCCCCACTCACGGAGAAGGTGATACAAACGGTAGGGAAGCTCCGTTGCTCCTACCCTGGCCCAGCAATTTCGGTGAGTCTAGAGAAGGTCAAGGACTCCGCCTTCCTCGACGAACTCGGGATGTTTCTGGAGAAGATGAATCGGGATGTCCTGGAGCAGGCAGCACCAAAGGCCGCGAAAGCAGGATCTACCGTCTTGGAGGATAGGGAAACGCAGAACCCGAAATTCATCACCGAGATGCTTACGGGGATCCTGAGAGGGATTGGAAGCCCGGCAAACGTCCAGCGCATCGAGAAACGTATCGCCGACGATGTCCTCTGGGACAACGCGCGGACTCCATGGCGGCGGTCACCACTTTGGCTTGTGGTGAGGGTTGCGTTGCAGACTACGCTGCGAGACCCTGGTGGGGGGCAGAAGGAATATAAATCGTTCATGGTGTTCCTCATGGCCAGGCTGTTGGATTGGGCGTTATCCATGCATGATGTTTCTAGCGATGTCCTATTTGTCATGAATGCGAAGCTGAGCCGGCGAGTCCATAAAATGCGCAAAGGGGGCTTACAACATTTTGCCTTGCTAGAGGCACGTAGGGTGTGTGATCGGGCGCACGATACGTTGGACAATAGATGGACTCAAGCACAACAATATTACTCCAGCCCATTCAATTGGAATCCAATGTCTTTCTCTGCCGAGAAAGATGTGCGACTTTCGATGGACAATACTAAAAAATACTTGGGAGAAGCAAGGAATCTAGGGGTTAGAAAACGGAAGCCCAATTCCTTTACGCCAAACGAATCCAAACGGATCAATACAACCTCAGCTCGTTTGCCGCAGCTTGGTAGCCTCAAGGGCAACCCAGATAAGGAACTTATATTGGCAGACTTTGAGCTTTGGGTGAAGAATAATCTGGGAAAATGGTTCAATTATATTACGGACTACAGCAATGCCTGCGAGAGGCTTGGAGAGGAAATAGAGGATTACATCACGGCCGCAAAGCCATCGCCCTCGTCCAACCCAGAAAGGAACTCGGTATTCATATTGACAATGATGGAACTCTGGGTCGCGCTCGATAAGATTACTTTGGAACTTCACCCGCTCTTATCCAGTTACTATCCAGGATTCCGGGATGACTTCCTTACCCCCCTCCTGCTACCTCAGGCTCAGCAAAGAATCCGCCTCCATAAGCTCGAGGAATACCTAAAAGCTCGCAAGGTTGGAACATATCAAGAAACCTCCGATTCGGTGTATTCAAGTGTCGTGACCGAGAGATCATTTGCCGTGCGGTACTTCGATTCCTCGGATGAACACCGGCGCCTTCGACGTCAGATACTGGATGATGCGAAAAAGGATATGATTAGAAAGGAGCTCCAACTTGAGGATAAGGAGATAGAGTACGAAGACTTGCTCGAAACCGCCGATGGGTTGCCTTGTGAGTGTGTTACCATTTGGGAGGAGGGATGGACGCAAAATCGCCAGATATGCAGGAGATGTCTTTTAATTAGCTCTGCAGAAAGGATGAGGATAGAGGTGTTTGAGATGCCTCTCCCCGAAGATGTTCTTATGCAGAAGGCTATAGTGTTCGAGCTCCGATGCCCATTAGGATTTTCCATATGGAGGGACATGACATTCAAAGTTCTGACTGAAGTCTGTGCACCACCCAAAACCCCCCCGGGCGATATCCATGATCCTCTCGAAGCCCTTGACACCTACCTCGGCTTACAAAGATATATGAAAGTCACTCAACGATCCAGGCCCCAGAGCCTTCAGTGGTCCTCGTTCACCAAATCATTTCTCAAATCCCACTACCGCTTTGTCAGGCTCCCTACAACTATAGGGTCGCTTCGTGTGAATAATGGATTGCGTTATGGACTCTACGACAGGGAGGGGGGGAAATGGACCCACCAAGCCATCGGCGGGTACAACATTCGAAATTCCTGTACATTCAGACTCCCTGATGGCCCTTACAAGAAATTGCAGTACACCCTTACGTCAACTACCCACCCTCCAAATGCAGTTATCTCCAGGCAGTCGGAATGTCCAGCAGGTATTCAGCTTCACGAATACATTGCATTTGGACTTGTGCGGTCAGGTCACCGCGTTCAATGGTTAAATATGCTACGAGAGCTCAGAAGCCGTACCCTCACATTCAATAGTGACGCCGTCAATATGCTGTTTTCGCAGTGTGCTTGGCAAGCCGGGCCCCAGGGACCCCCGGGATCTTTAAAGACGCTAAGAGAATCTCATATTGACCTCAAGGACGAAGAGTTTGGGCAAAGGATTCTTTCCGAATTGGTTGATTTCCTCGCAATTATAGAGTCAAACTGGCAAGAGGTCATCGCAGCGCAGACCCTGATCATGTTGGCGACTCAGCTCCTCACCTTTGCCAGCCATAAGTCCATCACTGCGGGTGCTGCCAGCTTTTTGCGTGACGCGCGCAGGGTATGCTTGGGTTGGACACGAGAACTATCTACCAAGCTGCGGGACTGCAAGCCCCAGGAGATGAGAGAACTTCAGCTTCGTATTGTGCAGGCAGCGGCAGTCTGCCGAGAAACCTACAACGTTGAGCAGGAACACCTGGACGACTTACTCCATTCCCGGGAGGATGTTGCTGTCCTTGTCGAATGCGCCATAATCATCCACGATAATGTCTCTGCCATCAACGGTGCCCTGCCACGTCCAGTATGTATTCTACTCGATCGAGACTGGAGGTTGGCTCATGCAATCGAAGCCCACGTCCGTTCTCTGATTCTCAAAGATCGAATCGGCTTAGACCTTGCATTCGTGTGGAGTGCATACGGACGCAAGTGTTCATGGATCAGCTTAGCAGCGCCTAACACCAGATGGGTGGCGTCTATGGTTGTGGGCTCCGAGAACCTATCTCAGAAAGTGTGTTACAATGTGCTTACGGGCAAACTACTTGTCGATGGATTACCGCTTGGTAAACTACCGCCGGATTATGTTTCTCATCCAACATATGAGGAGTTGTTCGGCGAGGTGAGTGCTGGATCCAAGGGTTATTATCTGGTTGAAAACTGATAAGGATTGCTTTTCAGAAAGTTCTTGATGTTTATCCGTCAAAGATGGACGGAATGGTATTTCAGACAAAGCAAGCGATGTATGGACACGATGTAATAATGCCTTCAAAATTCTTGAAAGTAATCCTCATGAAACCCCGCTGACAAGATTGGTACAGGTGGGGTTCGCAATGCACGGAAAGGAGCTTATCATTCGGATTCGGAGGAGAACGGACTCAGTGGTACACCAGCTTATCCCACGCGCTAAGTTGCATGGGGACTTCCCAGGGCACATTATTGCAGGCCATTTGCACTGGCTGGAGCTCTCAACAAATAAGATCGAATTGCGAGACAAAAAGAGGCCATGGGAACCAGAACACAGCCGGTATATCTCCAATACGAACGGTTCTGCTCCCAGTGTGCTCCACCTCAGTGAAGATCAACGATTGGTCGATATCCGAAGTGAGACGACAGAAGCAATTAACCTGATGCTTGCTCCTCTTGAATACAGAAGCTATATCGATGTACGTTACGGGAAAGATGGGACGGTATCACCGAACTTACCTCGCCTCAAACTGGATTTTTATATCAACGAGGGTCAAAAGTTGGAATGCCGGCAGTTTCCAGGCATGGTTGTTGATAGTAATCCGAATATCGGGACCCTGATAGGGCTAGAAAACCGGCTTGTTGTGACTCAGGGGTCGATACGGAGCGTGTTGATCCCATACGGTAAGGTGAAGTTCGAGCAGTTTGAAAGAGACCATGTGAGGGTTGAGATCGATACTAGAAACGAACCTTGGCCGGTAAGATATCATATCTATACCATCGACACTGTGCTCGGTCGGCTAGTCGGGAACGGCAGTTTGGCAAGTCACCTTTACAAAATATACCTTCATGCGGTGACGGCATCGTGCCTGCCTGATCCCCTCACCAGTCGAACGGGGACCGAGGAGGCTCTTTATCTGCTTCGGGCCGCAGCAACATGGTCGTTCCAAAAGCCGGAGATCGAGGGGGTAGAGGCGGAGCTGTTTGGGCTCATTCAGTCCCTGACCCCAGCGCGTGTTTATTACCCGAAGCACATGAAGGCTATGCAGAAGATAACCTGGAGCTGTCTGTCCCCGATAGCACAGCATGATGAGTTCTCCAGCATTGTGGGGGATGTTTTGGCTCATGCGCGTCGCTTTCGAATGTTCGGGGAAGGGCGGGCTGGATCCAGTCCCTCGACATTCAACAAGGAACCCCGCGAGCCAGCGCTCTTGGAGAGAGCTGCTCACCGTAACGCGGGTTTCCGCACATATGAATTCGGCGGCGCCAGGGGGGCAGAGAAGAGGGATGCTGTTTATGAGGCGCGTGATGTGCTTGGGAAGGCGTCTATGGATGAAGCACGTGCTTGTTACATCTCTGCTATGGTGGAGCGCTGGCCATCGACACTGAACGTTTGCTCGAACTTGATGGGTGTATTTGAGAAGTGGGGAGAGCTCGGGAGCAAAACGGTTGACCTTCGTTATGATCAGAAATGGTTGGATCAAGATCTCGCGGAGGTTTGGTTTGAACTATACCAGTATCTCACCGTGAGCACCAAGAAGGATCATACTTACAGATTGATGTTCCTGCTCAGCACAATTGCATACTCAGACTCAGGCAAGACGAAGATGGACCTTATCGAGAGCTTACTGGCATTCGATACAGTGGATCGCTTTCGATGGTTGGGCCTGCCCTCCTTCTCATCCTATAACCTTGAACAAGGATTTAAGCCCGATCCTCAAACTTTGCATGACGCGATCAAGGAATGTTTCACGGAATATGAAGACAGTGCTGAGGCCGATCTGCAGGCCACAGTGGGTGAGAGCGGTTATGAACTTGGTGCTCGGCGATACCAGACTTACTGCTGGAACAGGGGGGAGCAATCGAAATCCTTTGTCGATGATGTGATCTCTCAATGGCCTTGTCAGACCCCACACAGACCAGCACGTGGGCTTCCTCTGCTGAATATTTCGGTCGCTATAGTAATGATCACGATACACTTCAGAAACTGGCATAGGAACTCGGACCTCCAACGCCATGTGCGCAGAGTTCAAGATGCCCTAGACAAGGTGAATCTAGAGGGGAAACGAACCTTTCAGGTTTATAGCTTTGAGCCATGCAGGGAGGCGTCCCCGTCTGTAGACGGTACAGTTCCTCTTGAAAACCTGCTCCACAAGACCCCCCCAGATCTACCCGTGCCTCCTCCTCCTATAGCCGTTGGGCGAGACCCTGTCTCCTACGGTCGCGCGCCAAAAGGAGCTTCTGAGCATAGTGGTTTCGAGTCCCTTCTTCGAGATTTTGAGACTTCAGAGAGTCCGGGTAGCTTTTGGGGGATATACGTTAAGGGCTTACAGGAGAGTTTTAAGGCTCTTAAAGATTTACCCAGCTCTGCAGAAGGAGGCAGAGCGCTAGTATCGATAAACATGTTGGAATCTTGCGAGGCCGAGTGTGAGAAATATATGAAGGGAGTGTTTAGTGCTATTCGGGAAAGGCTTCTTCCAAAACGAGACGGGAAAGGTTGGATGATATACAGAGCCGGTCTGTGGCCACGGATCTCGCCGATGCTGTTGCTCCAACAATTAGCGACGAATGGACCAGTCCAATTAACTAACAAGTGGAGAGAGGTACTTGTCACTTACGGTAAAGCAATCTCTATGCTGCAACGATCACAGCGCCTCCTCAAGCATGCTCGAGAAGGGGCCTCCGTGGACCTTTGTAAGGAACTGGAAAATCCCGGGCATGAGGGCTGGGATCAAATGGAAAAAGCGGACTGGCTATTGATGGAAATCGAGAATAGCCTTCTTGTGCGACCAGTTCAGGTAGGCATAGCGTCCAGGATGATCTCACCAGACAACGGTGAGAATACACTCATGCAACTTTGTATGGGCGAGGGAAAGACGTCAATTATCGTCCCACTTACTGCCGCCTACCTTGCCGACGGCGAGAAACTGGTTCGAGTCGTCGTGTTGAAGCCATTGATCGGGCAAATGTTTCAAATGCTGGTCCAAAGGCTGGGGGGCTTGATCAACCGACGGATCTACTTCCTGCCGTTCTCCCGTGGGGTCAAGATGGGAGTAAATGAGGCGCGTCTAGTTCATGACCTTTTTGAGGAGTGTATGGAGAAGAGAGGCATCTTACTAGCCCAGCCAGAGCACATATTATCTTTCAAGCTTCTGGGGCTGGAAAGGTTGTACAGCACTGAACACGCGCCCAAAGCCGGCACCAACGCCCCACGAGATATGAAAGACGTGCACGCGGTTGCTCAACAGCTGCTTGAAACCCAGCGGTGGCTAAGGAAAAAATCAAGAGATATCCTGGACGAAAGTGACGAGATTTTAAGCATCCGACATGAACTCATATACACCATCGGGAGTTCAAGACCTATTGAAGGCTATCCTGACCGTTGGATAGTTATTCAACAGATTTTGGATCTTATCAGGCAACATCTCCGCGATGCAGGTTCCAACCCCCGAGATTTTGAGGTAGAACATTCCCCACATGAGGGTGGCTTTGACTCAATACGTATCCTGGATGTTTTGGCGGGGCGAAGGTTATTCAAAAAGATTGCCTCCAAAATCATCGCAGGTATTCTCTCAGAATTCTTCTCCTTCCATTGTTTTGCATCGATGATAGACAGCATGAATGTCGTGACTGACCACACGCCCCATGATACCGTACAGGTCATCTCCCCGCATTTTCCTTCCGGTTCCTGCCCGAGCATTTACAAAAAATGGCGGAGAAATTCATCACAGACCCAAGGTTACGTGAGGATGAGTGTGTATTCCTACTTTTACAGTATCAGGATAATCAAGTCTCAACCGGTATCCTCTATTTACTAAGAGGCCTCATTGCTCATAAGCTATTGCTCTACGTGTTGCATTATAAGAGATGGAAGGTCGATTATGGGCTCGATCCCAAGCGCTCGATGCTTGCAGTCCCTTATAGGGCAAAGGATTGTCCCTCTGGGCAGTCAGAATTCAGTCATCCAGACGTTGCAATAACCGTGACTTGCCTCAGCTACTACTATGGCGGATTGAGTGAAAGTCAGCTGGAGATGTGTTTTCGTGATGTGTATAAATCCGATAATCCAACAATGGAGTATGAGCGTTGGTTGGAAAGAGTTTCTGTGACTAATCATAGCTTCAAGTTAAGATGCTTAAACGCCATCAACCTGGAGGATAGGAACCAGTGGAAGGTGGAGATTTTTCCCACCTTCAGATACAACAAAGCGGTCATTGACTTTTATCTTTCCGGGGTGGTGTTTCCTATGGCAGCTAAGGAATTCTCTGAGAAGCTTTCAACGTCCGGCTGGGATATAGCGGAGAAGAAGGACCTTCACCCAACGACAGGTTTTAGCGGCACCAATGATAATCGATACCTTCTCCCCCTATCAATTAGTCAAGTAGACACTGGAGAGCAGCTCAATACCAACGCCAGAGTTCTTAGTTATCTATTGCAGCCTGAGAATAGTTATAGATTGGCCGAAGGGACTTGCGGTGAACGCCTTAATGTCAAACAGTTACTGAGGTTGGTCACAGATTCCGACAAGGATATGAAGGTTAAGGTATTACTAGATGTTGGTGCTCAAGTGTTGGAGTTGCGAAACGAGGAAGTTGCGACGGAATGGCTGAGGATAGTACCGGAGAACTACGCTAAAGCTGCTGTATATTTTAACGACAATGACGAGTTGACCGTAGTAGCTCGTGATGGAACCACAGAGGCACTTATGATCTCTGCTTTCGCCGATCAACTGGACAGATGCCTTGTGTATCTTGATGAAGCGCATACCCGGGGTACAGACCTCAAGCTCCCAAGCAAGAGTAGGGCGGTAGTAACCCTCGGGCCAAACTTGACAAAGGACAGGCTTGTACAAGGTTATTGCTCTCCCTATGATCTCTTTGATACCAAGCTAACTCGACTCAGCGTGTATGAGAATGCGAAAACTGGGAAACGGCCACTCAGTCTTGTTTTGCGGGCCTCCAGAAGTCCATCGAAAAATCCTTGCGCTGGCTAAGAAGGCGGATCCTCAGCCCATTGAGGTTCGCGACGTTTTGCACTGGTGTATGATGGAAACTTGTAGTAATGCCCGCAGGCTATTGCCAATATGGGCAAAACAAGGGATTAGTCATGCCAAGCGCTATAAGGCATGCAATGACCTTCGACTATCATTCCCACATATCCTACTCGAACAAGAATCAAAATCGCTGGAGGAGCATTACGGGTTTAAGCGGGCTAAGAGTGATATTCTGCCAACATGGCATTCAACACGAAAAACAGACGGCAGTGAGTTTCATGCAATTCAGCAGAAGTGCAAGGAGTTCGGCGTGAAATCGTTCGGAGGAGCTCCGATGCTTGAAGAGCAAGAGCGAGAGCTGTCTCACGAGATTGAGTCCGAACGAGTACTACAGCGCCCCCCGAAGGCTGATCCTATGAATCACCATGTCACAAAAGGCCTCGGAGAATTGGTAGATAATGGGTGCCTACCGCCACATGCCCGCCGCTGGGATACCTTTATTCCCGCCTTCCGAACACTCCGCGATACCTCGGCCAATGACTATATGGAATTAGCCTCATGGCCCGAGACAATTCTTGTAACAAATGATTTTGCTACTGTTGTAGGCAAGCGGGACACTGGGTTGGACGAGTATCTTCGACCTGTCAACTGGATTTTATCGATGAATAATGACCCTTCAACCTTGATCATCCTAAGTCCCTACGAGGTCAATGACTTACTACCTCTCATACGCCAGTCGAGATCGGTTATCCTACACATGTATTCTCCACGAACTGCAAAGGCTAGCCCGTCATATGATACTCTAGACTTTTGCACGATCCCCCGACTGCCTAATTCATGGCAGCGAAACAGTGAATTGATCGACTCGGTCAACACCTTTGCTGGTCAGTTGTACATTTCAGATTACGAGACATACGAGAGAATATGTGGGTTCTTGGGGCTATATTTGAAGGAACTGCCGCAAGGAATGCACGTGGATATAGGTAATGATGGCTTTGTCGAGCAGTCAGGTCGCAAATCACTGTGCATGGAAAACTCAACCTTCACCAAAAGTCCCGTTCCGTTTCTGCGGGTATTACTAGGGATGCGTCGTAAAGGGCAGAGCTACGCTGCGACACATATGGGACAAATATTGAACGGGAGATCGCTATCTGAAAAAGACTTTGGGTATGAGAAAGGTGAGAGCAAAGAGGTATGTCGCACACCAACGATTTCCGAGAGGAAAGATTAACTAAAGGAGAGACCTAGGGGGAGAATACTGGTGGATTATAGGGGTTCTTGCATTTATATTGGAAGGATACTTCTGCGACTTACATTTTATTTCCAATGTATTTTACATTTATTTTCTTTAGACCTTTTTATTTGCGCGCTTCGAGCTTCAGGCGCTCCTCGCGAACGTCCGTTGTCATTAAAGTCACTTCTTCTTTCCAATATCGGCCCTATTCGTGTACATATTCAAATGGATAGTCATATTAGCTGCATAATCTATGCTTCTCCAATATTACAGGCTTGGGGTTTATTAGAGAGATTGTCTATATTAAAGATGGTTCAGCATCCGGTGACTGGAAGGGTGTTATATGTAAATGGATAGGGATATATGTGTTGTTCGCTATTCTCCAGTGGACAAGAGACTCCTAAGCCCGTGATCTGAAAAAAGGATTCGCCAAGGACAAGCCTATGATTGATTAAATGGGTGATTGGAGTTGTCCTACAGGTTTTACATCCATTAGTAGGCCTCTCAACGATATTGCGGTGGGGTGATAGGTATAGATAACCGTTAGCGGTGGTAAAGTTGGTATAGCACAATACCCCCGGACACACGGCCCGACTTGCATAATAGTACCCGGAATTTATATCGATAGTACCGGCCCTATCGTCTTGGAGCAAGCAGATGGGCCGGTGCCAAGTATGACGAAAGTCTCCGTGAAGATCAGCCCCAACTTAGGTGTTATATACACAATCTAATAGCATAATTAGACTAGTCTACAAGTTCTTGCATGATGAGATATGAGATACTTGAAAATTCTTACTGATAGGCATATCCGTATATTGTCTTTCGACTTTGGTCCCTTCCACCTACAGACCACTTCACACTTTTATCTGAGCACAATTCTACCATTTCTTTAATCACACGGTACTCAGCAACTACTCTGAGTTCTAATAGATGCCTTTTCCCGAACCACTGCTTGCCATCGCTCGAAACTGATATATCTCTCATGAGTTCAATTTCTCAAGAAGGAAAAGAGATATATAAATATCGTCTCTAACACTCTAACCTGTCATTCATTCTCACTAGCAGCAATCTTTCATAGTACTGGCCCTTCCGTTACCGCCTCCAACAATCAGAAAAGAAGTACATATTTTGGTGCATCATTGAAATCGATTCTCTATTGAGCACAACCATAATCATGATATGATTGCATGTTTTAAATCTAATAAGTAAATCGATTTTTCAAGTCACGATTTTTAAATCATAGTGCACGATAACACTGGAGGGTATATTATCGCGATGCTCGGCACACTTGCGATCTCGTAGTTTCCATCTTGCCCTCGAGAAACCGGCCGCGACGCAAGGAAATGATAAGCAAGATTGTTGTTAGCGGAGGCTTTCTTATCTACCAAATCGATATTTCAAGATTTGAGTAACGGAGTCTAAGGTTTTACTAAAATTATATTGCCTAGTTTAAAGTAAGAATACTTATTTATGGACAGGTCCGCTGGTGTACCCCACTAGTTGCCCCGACCGCCAAAGCGATTCCCGGGAGTGTAAATCGTACTTGTAGAGAGGTTTTAAGACGTTTGCCATGCATGTGGCGCGGGACGGCATCGGGGGCGGGTGTCAACTTTACAGGGTACATACATCAACATAATTTTTTGTATGCAATGTGATATAGAAAATGTCACTGTCATCCTAGGTTGAAAGCTTTGGCGTTTTGTTTTCAAAGCTGCCCACATAGCAATGATAGCCCTTGGACGGTGTTGGCTGGCTGTTGTGTTCTACCGCAAAATATGAGAAATTTCGTTGCGCTGCAGCAGGGGTATAGGCCAACCAGAGGCAGCCTTTGGACGTCAAAATGCAAGTTATATGCAACTTTTGGTGTAGAATATCCCTGCTGCAGCGCAACGAAATTTCTCAGATTTTGCGGTATCTCTTCGACGACGACGATACGAATACGAGATAGATCAATTTCAACTAACAGCGAGACACGTATTGGTGATGATGATCTGAGAGGACGTGACAAAAGAACTATCTAGAGGCAGGCAGGATGTAGACACCTGAACATAATACTGCTAAGCGCTACGTTCCCCTTGGCGCCTGCTTTGGCTACCATAAGCGTGTCCGACCGTATTACAAATCGTTTACCTCTCACCCGCGCCCAACAACCAATGAAAGTGGTCAAATTCGCGACCTGGACCGTGCACCACTTACTAAGGGAATTGCATTACTTTTTACGGTTTATAACAACAACAGAGCCAATCAAGAATTAGCAACAGTTACTACAGAAGGCTAGTGATGGCTGAACGAGGTAGGTCGCGAATTTGACCACTTTCATCCGTCTAAGGGATAGCCTTGTAAGCACTCTGGCCGGTAGAGTAGTGAAGCTCAGCAGGGATAAAAAGCCCCGTTACGGTAAATAAAATACTGGAAGCACAGCCTGAGATGGTCTTGGCTGTATCATTGCTCTTTACTGCGAGAGAGGCATACTACATGACACATGTGTTATTAAACTGGTCTGGTGACAAGAATGTCTATCGAGGCCTTGACTTCATTCCCGATTCAATTGCTAACAATTCAAATTTCATTAAGTTTATGCATCAGTCTTCACCTTCCCTAGAATAGTAGAGGGCGGCTATAATTTAGCGGGAGGCGGAGGGCGTCCATCGTTCTCCTCGCCTTTTAACTGCATTCGGGAATCCCGACGTCAAAAAATCAATGGAAAGGAGAAGGTAATAGTATTATCTATCGAATCCCCATTGTCCGCGTCATGACAGCAGGAAACTCAGACATACATCACATGTATTGCAGCCTTGACAATGAAACCAGAAACGAAGACAGTCCTTAATCAATAACAAAAAGCGAAAGAAAATCCTAAGAAATCAACAAAAGCCGAAGGCTGACTAGAAAGACCAGAATAAGAAAAGAGGAGGCATATTGGCAAAGACAAAACAAATGGATGACCGCAAGGCACAAGATGGGTCGTAAAGGTCATTGAAGAAAACTCTGACACTTGTCTTTCGCTACTTGAGTCAAATCTCTCATGAGGTCCACTTCGTCGATGACATCCGCTTTCTTTGAGTCCTTCACTAGAGATCGGAGGGCATTCTTACACACGATATAAACCTTCTGTTGCGGAAGGCCGACTTGTTGCAAAAGGGCTTGGAAATTATTGCGCGTATCAGCAATATACCTACCACGGGCTTCTAATAAACGATTCCTCTTCCTCTCCTCGTTGTCACCTTCGTCGTCGCTGTCGCCGTCGTCGTCCTCCATGAGATTCCCGATTTGTTGATCCGATTTTGATCGTACAACGAATGCAGTTATACCGAAGCGTTTACAATGAAATAGAAGCTCCACGTCCGTCTGGGTAAAGCGATCGCCAGCTACAACTATGATGACATCAAAGATGTACAATCCTTGGTCGTTGAAATATTGCCAGTCACGGATATTTACAGTGCCAGCTCCAGGTACGTCGTACCAGGCCAACCACTGTCGAGAAGAATCTGGATCGTAATATCGTTCGATTTCTGTAGTCGTTTCGCTGGTTCCGGTTTTGGCGATACCCCCCTTGGGGGAATTTGAATTCTTGAGACCACGAAGAGCATTGATCAATGAGGATTTTCCACATCCAGAACAGCCCGTGATAGCGATATGCAAGTAGCCTTCCTGATATCCAAGCTTTTGTCTCATAAGATGAAACTCCTCGCCAGTAGGATACTTAACGGGCGGAATCCCTTCCTGCAGGTTTCTTTCGGCTTCTTCTCGTAAGTAGATTTCTTTCTCGACCCTTTTCCTCGCTTCTTCCTCTGTTTTTCTCGCCAGTTCCTCCATCTTCTTTTTTTCTTCTTCCAACCTCATCTGCTCCTGGAGCGCGCGCAGTTCCTCCTGCACCCTATGAGCCTCCTCTAACCTCTTCAACTCCTCTTCTCCTCTGCGGATTTCCTCTTCCTTTTCTGCCTGAATCCTTTTCATCTCCCTCTCATGATTCTCAGCCTGTAACCTCTCCCTTTCCTCCTGCGCTCTTTGCAACTCCTGCTGATGTTCCGCCTGCTTCCTCGCTTGTTCTTCGATCAATCTCAACTCGTTTGCATGTTTCTCAGCCACCGCTCTTTCCTTTTCTTGCTGTATCCTATCCCTCTCCTCCTGTGCCCTCTTCATCTCCTCCTGGTGCTGCAAGGCCAGGGCTCTCGCCTTCTCCGCTTGTGCGTGCCGCTGCGCTTCTAGCTCTCTTTCCTTCTCGGCCGCAATTCTGTCCCTTTCAGATTCAAGCCATCGCCTGTGGTTTTCGGCCGCCTCATGCTGCCTTCGACTCCTTTCCCGCTCTTCATGAAGCTGATGCTCATAATGCTGCGCATTGTCAGTGAAGGGGTTTCAGCAAATGGGAGGTCTAGGATGGGCCGTTATTACCGAGTTATTGTTACCCATCTCGTAGAACGGGGTATGGTAGATATGGTGTTGAAAGGCGGGTGTGGGGTCTGGGCACCCGGGTTAAAGTCAATACTAAAAGAGGAGGGGACGGGAATTCTGCATACAACTCGGCGTAGAAAGGAGAATAACCGGATGCGTGATATAGCTGTAGCCGCCCTGGCCCTTGGGACAGAATAAGTTGGCGGATATGCGATGTTGGTGTAAAGGCCTGTAGAGAAAGACTCGTCCACAAAACAGCGCCTCTTTAAACAGGAACCAAATAGTGCCTCTAAACTGATCGACATATTCAGGCAACCAAAACTTCGGCAGCCTAGCAATAGCTACCCCGCACGGCGTAGCTGCAATAGTTCCACACCATTCTCCTGCCAATCACTGCATTGGAGCCTATCGTAGGTATCTACGCACAAACTAACACATCACATAGCATTTAAAACCGGCTAAAACCGCAGCCGGGCTATTCACAAAGGCCGATATTCTTTGGGCTGTGCTTTTATTGCACACAAAACAAAGAAACTCCCATGTTTCTAGGCTTGTCTAGTATCACCCGGCAATCTGGTGGAGTGCAGTTTATACGAACAAGCCACATGTCATACCGAATATAAAAATAATATAGGTAATATTTCAACGGGATACCGTATTCCACAAGAAAACAAACATTGATGCCAAGATAGCGAATCTGTCCTGCACGAGATTCTACTCTATAAGCGGTATGTATCGCAGAAACTCGCGAATTTCAGTAGTCGTATACCTATATAGATAGGCCAGGAACTAGCTACTAAATTAATATCTGACGATGATCTCTGCCTCTCAGCCAATCACTCAAGGAAAAATCCCTGCACGAAGATAAGGCAGTATCCACAGCTTTCTTGTTCCCTGGTGTGAAGTGCGGGGTGGAGCGGGAGTTGGTTGCCTGAAGGTTCCTGCAGGGTGCCTGAATCTTGAGAACAAGGCCCGGGCCGCGCATCGCTCAAAGGCGCCAAGAAATAAACCATCACAATGTTACTGTTGACTGATGGAGCAAAGAGCAACAGCCAAGCCCAGTTTTATCTGCCAAAAAGCCTCTGTCCATCAATACCTAGTGCACGACGTTTGTGGACACGACTGACATTGCATACCATAAAAAATACGCCAAGCTCATGATTTTGGGTGTATGCAAACGTTAGGATTTTACGAGTACTCAAGAAGACTACGAGTAGTCTCTCTGAATCATCGTAAAGCATATACATATGGTCGGGGGCACCTTGACGCAGCGTGAATTTCAAGGGTTAGTTTGTTCTCCCGCTTCCTCTATGGAATGCACAGTTTGACCACGTTTATCTATTTTGGTGATACAGCCATTGAAATTAAAAAAGGTTCGTCTTTTTCGCCCTCAGCCCAGTTTAAACTTGCCTGTTTGAGACGAAAAACATACCAAATAGCGAAAGGACCTCCCGATAAGAAATGGACAACAGCCTTTGGTACCAAGGCTTGAACCGGGTAGCAGCTCTTATTTGGTAACCTGAGTCCATACGCGGGAATCAAAGCATCTGCATTGTTGCCTTCTAATCGACAGCGTGCGGGAAATCGTGCCAAAAGGTAAACGCCCCCGGGCTAGTATGAGGCTGGAATACTGTACCCCACTGGTCAAGACGATGGAAATTCACGCTTTTGACGGTCGTGATTGGGGCTCATCAACGCCCATTAGACAAATCAGAAAGAGGTGTTCACGGTCCAGTCTCAGCCTGGTCCTGTTCGTTATTGCCATGATTTCGCGGCCGGTATTAAAGTATCTCGGAAAGCTGAGGCAATGTTATTTAGATAGGTATGGCCTGCGAGTACCGCAGTATCTGAGAAAATTCGTTGCGTTGCAGCAGGGGTATTCTCTACCAAAACTTGCATATTGAGGTCCAAAAACTGCCTCTGATTGGCTTATACCCCTGCTGAGGCGCAACGAATATTCTCAAATACTGCGGTAGTCGGAATAGGCTTCAACTCCCAGATTCTTTACTAGTAATACACCTACAAGAAACCTTGATACCATGCTTGGAACTAGTAATAGAACGGAAATCTAGGCGTAGGAGGGTAACGTTTATTGCCATTCAACTACATGGATCGATATTGTTGAATTGTTCCTCCTGAACTATGTCCTTCATGCATTCATAGTGACATCTGAGCCGGGCGCAGGCACCTTGGTCAAAGCCTTCTCGGGATCTTCCTACCTTTCTCTGGAGTGAAAGACGTTGTTTGTATTATATTCGAAAGTACAACGAAATCACGAAATGATCTGGAGAGAGCTGCAAAAGGAAAAGCGCTCTGTATGCTTTTTTCCTGCTGAAATGAAGAACGGAGAAAGCGCTCGACTTTGTTGAGTTACATGGACACTGAATTATATAGTTAGAGTACGTATATCACCTTCGATGACCAATATACACGGCAGAAACCCAGTTCTACCTTCCCCCGGTGCCAAAGGCTTGATTCCTGCTCTGACCCAAGCGCAGACGCTGCCCGCTGAGTGGGTGTTTGGATATCGCACATCCCATTCACCAATGGGTATCGTGCAGTGAATGGCTAACCTATTCACTGATGGAGCTTGAAGAGTACGCGTTCATGGATTGCAAGTACAGTCCAATCTCACCATAAGGATGCATCTCATGAAAGCAATGGTTTTGTAAAGACATAGTTCTCGGGCTGTAACCGCCTTTGTTGGCACAACTTCCATCCGGCTATGAAGGTAAGAGTCCGAATCACTTTTGTACTCTTATAGGGAAATTTGACTGTGATTGAGGTTTATAACTTGAGGTAACATTCAACGTTTAACTAAATACAGATATCTAGGTACGTTTTTGACATCCAATTTCAAGTTAGAAGATACATAAGTGAATAGAAAAGAGATCAAAGATAATGAGTAATAATGGAGCACAACAGGAGAGAATATGACATAATTGTACGGTAAGTATAATTCAAAAAGTTGAAGGCAAAGGAATAGAATATGATGACATATTAATCTGTTTTTGGCTGAACTCTCCTGGACTAATCTGAACTATGAAGCCTTTTTCTTTAAATAGGTGTTCCAACTCTGTGAGCTCCGGAGTATGCAGAGCCACTCCCTACTGTTAATGGTAGATTTTTAGGAGTGAGATTATGAATATTTTATTTTGTTTGTATATTTATGGTATAAGACAGAGTCGGGTTTGCAGTGTTTGCAATAACTGACCTAAAGTATTTGGAATCCAACAGGATATCATCCACTATGTACGATTATATATTATTAGCGGTTTTTGGGTATGGGAATATTGAATGGTTGATACCATCTAGACTGTGTATAGGACTTCCACTATCTGATCTTTCAGTACTATCATCTGTACTGTTACCACCAGTATAGTCAGAAAAGGCAATCAATTCCTCATCTAAGTTATTGGATTTTTTTTTTGTCCTTCCCATTAGTATGCCGGTTGATGCTAAAAAGAGCTTTTGAGCTAAAGCAGAAACACCCCTATTTTCTGCATTCTGACTTGCAGCTGCATTGAATGCCTTACTATTTCTATATCAGTATGTTGTCTTTACATCTTTATTACCTTGCTGACCGATACAAAGTGTAGCGTCTCAGTAGACTTTATAGCCCAGCAAACAGAAATCGTGTGAGATCTAGAATCCTTATAGGGTTTGAAGTGCATTGTGTCTGGTACTGATTTATCATAGCCCAACTACCCCTACTTCACTTACCAACAAAGCAGCTCCGGAATGGTGTTCTTGGGTGAAGGATTGATATACCTTCGGTGCTCCTTACTATGTTTGGATTTCAGTTGGGATTGTTTGTAATGCTAGGCTGGTTTTGTGTTACGGTACCTATAAAAGCCTTGTAGTTCTGATTTAGTTTCTGCTTGGTTCCTTAAGTTTCTTGAATTTGAGTTCCATGGATTAGTCATTATGATTTCCTTTGTAGTTTATATAGAAGATTTGTTTTTCGATCTTGTAGTTTTCCTTTCTTTCTTCTTTACGCAATGTTTTCTTCTCCTCGCTCAGCTCCAGCTCGCCAAACTACTTGGTTATGAACAAAACATTATTCTATAAACTCGATTCTTTATTTATCTAACTTGTCTCTTAAATATTTACCTCGCTTAACATTGGTCTACCTTGTTGTACTATTTCATGGATCGATTAGTTAGTATACCGGGTCACGAGGAGTTGGATTAGTCAGAAAGGTTCTATTGGGTTCTATCGGGTTCTGCCGGTCGTAAATGTATGAGTCACTTTGGATTTGTCATCGCTTGGATTTCCTTGGGTATATTAGGCGGTTTCGTTCTCGTTTCTTATTCTCTTTCCTTTCTTTCTTTTACTACGCAACGTCTTCTGTACCTACGCTGTCTATTACTATACAATATTATTTCTCTCTTCTTTACTCAGGAAGACCATCGTTAGCTGTCTCCTTGTCCCGTGGACCCTTACCGCCGCTCGAGTCCTTCAGGACCCCTATTGCAAGCCCTCACTCCGACCTCCACTCCCCCTTTCGTACCCTGCGGAATACTCGCTACTCGCCCCCTTGAGATACTATACCAGGTTGCAATATTTTACTCTTTGATTGGATATAATATCCTGTTCTCTAAGCGAGAGAAACAATTAGCTACCGTAGATCAAGTATCAAACTAGCCTACTGAGAATCTCAAAAAACAAACTATCTCACTACTGAATCTCCATGATTTACCAAAATACCTCCCTCAACAGGAAGAAAACGAACACTATCTAAAGTTTCTCCTACGACCAGCAGATCAGGAATTTCAGTCATGTTGCAGGTTTCATAGATCGATTAGTTAACACACTTGGTTACAAGGAGTTGGATTAGTCAGAAAGGTTCTATTGAGTTCTATCGGGTTCTGTCATTCGCAAGGATATGAGTCAATTTCAATTTTTCATCGCTGGGATTCCCTTGAGTATACTAGGAGGTTTCATCCTTGCTTTTGTTCTCTTTCTCTTCTTTCTTTTGATACGCAACGTCTTCTGTATCTACGCTGTCTATTGCTATATAATAACGTTTCTTCTTCTTTGCTCAAGAAGACCACCGTGCTGCTGCTTCCCTTGTCCCGTTGACCCTTACCAACGCTAAAGTCCCTCAGTACCCCTATTGCGAGTTAACATACCGACCTCTACTATCCTCTTCGTACCCTGCGGAATACTCGCTACTCGCCTTCTTGAAAACAACTAAGAGATTATACGAATTGGATTCGTATAAGTTCGAGGACAAAAAATAGAATATATTTCCTATATAACAGGAAGTTCGGATAAGGAGAAAAGAAAGAAAGTAAAAAGGGAAACTACAACCATATATATATCTTCCAAAACCTGATGACTAATTCGCGTAACAGAAACTCATAGAAAGAAAACCCAAACACTACCAAAATCCCAAAAGAGAAACAACAAATGAAATCCCGATTACTAATCACTATTCTTCCCGAACTTCTTCCTTACTCATACTACTCAGTTACATTCCTCCGCCGGTGCCCCCGTCCTATTTGCTAAAAAGACTGATAGAATACTCCCTCTCTACGTCGATTATTATGGCCTTAATGAACTTACAGTAAAAAACCGCTACCCGCTGCCGCTCATCCGGGAAACTCTCGACCGTCTCTACAAAGTCAAGTGGTACATCAAACTCGACATTCACTAAGGATATAACCAGATCCAAATGGCTGAGGGTGAAGAATGGAAAATAGCCTTTCGTATGCGTTACAGGCATTTCGAATACACGGTAATGCTTTTCGGCCTCACCAACGCGCCAGCCACCTTCCAACATTTTATCAACGATTGCGTCCGTGACTACCTCGACATGTTCTGTATATCCTACCTTGAGGATATTCTCATCTATAGCGACACCCTCAAGGAACATCAGGTACATGTTGAAAAAGTCCTGGAAGCCCTACAAAGAAATGGAGTACTGCTGAAACCAGAGAAATGTGAGTTTCACACACAAAGTATCACCTACCTCGGCCTCATCATCGAACCCAACGGCATTAAAATGGATACAAGGAAATTGGATACAGTGAAGAATTTGACCGTCCCTAAAACAGTTAGAGATGTGCAAGCATTCCTGCGGTTCGCCAACTTTTATTGCCGATTCATACGGGGGTTCTCAGAACTGGCTTCTCCCCTTACCAGACTGAAATGCAAGGTTATATCGTTCAGAAAGAAATCCACAGCTTAAGCTGTCTTCAACGCCCAAAAGGAAGCCTTCACAACTACTCCCATCCTCAACTATTTCGACCCCGAGAACGAAATTACTGTGGAAAGCGATTCATCTGACTACGTCTCAACCGGTGTACTGTCCCAATACGATGATAATGGTACCCTTCGACCCGTTGTATACTTCTCAAAGAAGCACTCCCCCGCTGAATGCAACTCTGAGATTTATGACAAAGAATTACTGGCAATTATTCGATCCTTTGAGGAATGGCTACCGGAACTTGAAGGGGCTGCATACCCAATTGCCGTCATATCCGATCATAAGAACTTCGAATACTTTATGAATACTAAACAACTGAACCGGAGACAAGCACGCTGGGCAGAATACCTATCACGATTCAATTTTGTCATCAAGTACCAAACACGGAAACATTGAGGAAACCGGACACATTGACAATGAGATCAGGAGATCTCCCTGAAGAGGGGGATGAAAGACAAGTACACCAGAGTCAAGTCGTATTGAAAAAGGAGAATCTTGAAGCAAAGCTAAGTTTGTTGGCGGGTTTTTTGTCAAATGAACCCGCTGAAAAGAACGCCTCACTGAGTACACTATTTGATAAAGGATATAACGCTGACTCGTTTCCACAGAAGTTACTGAATATACGGAACAAAAGTAAACGACAATCAAAAGACATATCACTCGCCGAATGCAGCGAGGTTGAAGGCCGGTTGCTCTACCTAGGCGGCATATATGTACCTATTCACAGAGGTCACTTACAAAATACAGTAACTTAAACTATGGCAACGAAGGGTAAACACAAAGAACTGGGGGGCAATGTTCTGATTGGACGACGAAATATAGCGAACTATGATGAAGTACAGACCGGTAACGATGCATTGAATTTCAGTACACGTGTAGTAACCACCAGCACTTACCAACACTCAGCAGCGAAATCAATACCATTTATGATCACGAGATGGCTTACTGGTGGTTATCACATAGGTGTTAAAACAATAGTCTCTTATCCTGAAATGATGGATCAGAATATCCGTCCAGTTTTTCAACTCTAGTATCATTGCCTGACCACCTCCACCTGACTTACTAGGGAGGCAGCTCTAGAATTGTGTTCTTAAGTTAAGGATTAGTTTAGCTTCCGTACTGTTTACTATATTTGGATTATAGTCGGAATTGATTGTACACGTTGGGCTGGTTTTGTGTTGAGGTGCACGAAGAAGTGTTGGATTTCAGATTTAGTTTCTGTTTCGTTCTTTAGGTTTCTTTGGTTTCGGTTAAACAAATTAGTTGTTGGGATTTTCTTTGTGTTTATATAGTACGATTATCTCCATTTTTGTAACTTTCTTTTCTTCTTCTTTATGTAACATATTCTATTCTTCTGTTACTATTAGAACAATAGTATTATTCCTTCTCGTTAAAAGATTCATGTCCTGTTCTCCCTTGGTATAATATACTAAGGAGATTCCGAATATACATACCATTGAAACAAGTCCATAGGTCAAGCCCTCCTGATTTCACTTTGCATCAGAGATTTTCTTATTATCAGCCCAGCCCTATCCCACTCTGAACCCGAATATATCCGGAGTAGACCTGCACTTTGGCCTCACCCCGTTAGATCTAGCTACGGTTTTATCTTCATCTTTGTTATTGTCCTTGTTCCAATTTTCGGTTCTCGTCTTCGAATGTATTGCAAGTTGAACTGCACTGTGGTTCCACCCCATGAGAGCTAGTTATCAAATAGTTTAAACCTTTATACTATATCTGTCTCATTTGTGAATTTGGCTTTTTGGTGAATAAGGCTTAGATAAGCCTCAAGAATTCGACTTTTCCCAGTATTGTATTGGTTCACTAGCTTGTATATTCCTTCTAGTACCTGAATTTCGGTTTTCTTATAGCTCATTTGGTAGCATGAGGTGTCTGATACCTGCAGGGTTATGGGTTCTGCCAACCTCTTTTACTTTTTTTCCTTCTTCACTATCATGTACATAATTATCATTCCAGATATAATCCTTGAAATATCAAATAACCGTTTTTGTTGCTAATGATTATTCAATTCCATAGATTATTAAGCAATTATACAAAAAATTATCATTATTTTTTTTACCCATTTTGGCGTTAACGTTCCCCTCCATCACATAGAATTTTGCACTCGGTGATTTAAAGACTGGGCTACAACCACGCTCTTATCGCATCTACCACCCCCATCTCCATACATACATCCCTCCTGTCAGCAGCTAACTGTGACCAACCACCATATCAAATATTTCATTGTAGTCACCCTTCTACTCCACCCTCATCTCCTTCTTCCCCAAACATGGCCCACGGACGTGACGAGCGCTGGCCCCATGGCATGCCCATCACCCTTCGGACCCTGCAGCTCATCCTGGCTGTGGTAAACCCTGTCCTTCTTGGGATGTCCTCCGAGAGGTCCGCTTCCCACCCTTTACCTTCCTGTTCCTCTCTCTCTCAAACTGACTTCTTCCTGCAGCCTGTACACCTTCACCTACAGTGTTACTCTCGGCGTGCTGACAGCTATCTACACTATCACCTGTCTAATCTGCTATTGCGCCGGTAGATTGGACCCGGCGTCGGCCGCATGGATCGATTTTGGTGCTATATTTATGTGGGCATATGGCCTCGCCATCACGGGCCTTGGGCCTGACTTTCCCGACCATAGAATGGGCCACTGGTTGAGACTAATGATGGCGACGCAGTTGACCGAACTGTGAGTGTTCCCTTCCCCGGTGTCTGTCTGTGTATATCTCTCTGTTTGTGTGCGTCTATTTGCGTCTGATATGGGCAGTGGCTGATTGCATGGGCTTAGATTTCTCTTTATAGCAACGATGGGGATTGCTCTGACGGTGGTGCGGAGGGAGAAGGGGAGGGCAAAGCAGACAGCGCCGGCGGGGGTGGGTGCGCGGACCGGGCCGGGTCCAGGGCCCATCGTGCCTGGAATGGTAGAGGCGCCGGTGTGACCCCTATCAATGTGTCTTATAGCTGCTCTTTAATTGTGCGGTGCCCGGGGAAGAGACCCTGTACGTAAAGGGACACCTGTTTTCCTTACCAGTATATGCTTGTATCTGCGGTATTTGTGATGTACTTGAACAGTAGATCATCAGATGGTTACTCGCCCATATGTGTATATGCCACCCATGCGCTCAAGGTAAGGGACAAAATATACCACAATATACTCTCCTACCTTTCGGATAAACACTGCTCGCTTAAAATCTATCAATGGCATGTTAACATGCATCAAGATGACCCTTATATAACGCCAGATAACATACATCCCATGGTACGTGTCCTTTGCCCAAGCGCACTCGTCTCTAGTACACCATGTCCCTGTTTGGTGCTCATGCCACCCATCCTTCCCTAGTTCAAATCCATCAACACATCTAGTCCCAGGTGTGATGTGTATTTACCTTCGTCGACCATGAAACCTTGTTTCTCACCAATCGCAGGATATCACTCGTTCAAGATTTTATTGAGCTAGGTTTTAATTCCTGTTATTGATGTTGTTAATTCGTCAATGACGTGGAACTTCGAAAGTAGGACGATTTCATCTACAAGTTTACCAGCGCAGGGCTTATTCTAATGAGTGGAGTATCCAAAACGACACTATCCAGACCAGCACGTCCGCTCCCATGTTTTAAGTAGTAAGGTTGGTTCGTACCCAATACCTTCCAGAAAGCCCTTCAATAACCTGCGCCGAAATACCTTCAGATCGAGCGGCATTATTATTAAGACAGATCAAAATGTGGTATTCTCCTACGTCGAGGAGCCAACACAAGCACCTCCAGGCATCATCTCTGAGGTTAAACGCCGAGGCCTTGGGGTATTTTCGCAACGATCATTAATGAATGACTCTATATTTCTAATTCTATCAAACCTTTCTCTTATTTTGAATGTGCAATACTGGTGTATGGATCTTTCGTAAACATTGAACGGGCTGTATAGAGAATGGCGTTTATCGGTCAACCAGGTCTAACGGTGCGAACAGTTGACCAACGGCATGTTTTTGTTTAACATTGCCCTTTGATAAACCGTGTAAGTGATTCTCAGGTCATCTCTTCCAGACTCGAACTTCCCAGCCACAATGACCAACGCCTAATCTCCTAGTATCTGATTTAGACACGTTTCTACCGGCAGAACTATGGCTCGAGAAGCTATGGTGGGTAGGTATGTAAACTCCGGCGTTTGCAGCCAATCAATCTATAGAAATTGGGAGATCTACTACCATCATGGCACTAGCGCCTAGCCTAACGGTGGAATTTTCTCTAATTCCCATACAAAAAAAGTTCCTCTGAAGTTGACACACCCACCCCCTATGCCTTCTCGCGCCATAGGTGTGTGATAAACTACTCCTGCGCTACTCAAGCCCTGAGAGTTCCAGTTCTTAACAATCGACTTGCACGACGAGATGTCTCAGGACTGAATGTGCACGCGAGTGTTCGACTAGATTAGTAATAAAAAGAATTACTACATTTATGGTCAGACTGAGCGCGGGCGGAGACAAGCGAATGCCACAGCATCAAGAGATCGAGTATGCTTACGCAATCTTGTAGTATCACTCGGTCTTTTAACATAAGTTGGTGGTCACAAAGAGCTATGGGTATACCGATCGATACCGGTCCTTCCGAGCGCTGTTCTCTGGAGCCCTGTAACTCTGCGGTCCATCAACCTCATTTTCCTCGCCCACAAACGTACAACCATATATGCATGGCGCGGGAAGTAGCCTGGCAACCCCACCAACATACATACCACGTCAGCCAATTCTCTCATTGGCTCTGAGAAGCAAACATTGAAGAGTCTCATCGACTTGAGCTCGACTGTATGGCTGTAGTCAAGGGCTACTGCACTGAACTGGTGTGAGCATGCTTGACAACGCCGATGCCTCCCCGAGCACTCTCACATCATGCCCTACTCTCGTCCCGCGCGCCAAGTCACGGTGGCTGTTCCATATATCAGCTCATCACAATCAATATAACAACCCGGTCCGGCCACCATCTTCGCGGCGCTTATCGATCCAGCCAGCTACCTCGTTATCGGTTGCAACCGATACCAAATATTATTTCCGTGGCTCCGAGAAGATTTCCACCGACGGACAGTAACAGTTCAGGGTAGATAGAGTAACAACTCAGACCGAGGAGCCCGGAGGTACATACAGTGCTAGGTTGGTCTTCAGACCGAAACCCCTCTGGAAAAGAGTGGAGCCTCAGACGGTTTGCGGCGTCCGCTATTTCGATCGGGGGAATGTTGAGAGGTTACGTGTCACAGGTACGATCTCGACAGATACATACGCTAACCTATTTTTTGCGACAGGGAAGAGTGCGGGGAGGAGGCAGGGACAGGGACGGGGACAGGGACAGGGACAGGGGCAGGGGTACGGCGGCTCATAACTACCAAAGTGCAATTAAGGATTTCGGTGGCAACGGGACAACGAAAACCTAACCTGCCCACACAAAAAAAAAAAAAACACTGCCGGTGATTCAATTGTAGACATATTAAATATCTTTAGTTAAATACAAATAAAAAATTATTACTCCCAATCTGAATCTTCCTCTTGACTTAGTTCATTATCGGTTATGTCCGGTAAATTTTCATCAGGGAATTCTGCAACCAAGTGTGCTGCACCCCGTCCCCTAATAGAAGATACCTCCCGGGGCTTTAACAACAATGAGAGTACGGGATTTTGATTTCCCTTCTGAATGTGTCTTCCTAGATAGGCTTTAAGGAAGGTATACATAACAAAATGAGTCTTTCTACCATCAGGCATGATGTCCTCATACTGTACCCCATTGGCAGGTAGATCTCCTTTTGAAAGCATACGGGCGCAGTAGTCCATTGTTGAATTGGGGAGATAGGAATCATGATCTTATGTGTTTCCGTCAGTAAAAGTTAGGCAAACAAAAAAATTTAAATATCAGGAAACATATATACCATAGTACTCATTTGTGTAGCTATTTTTTAATTTCTTATCTCTAATACTTTCAATCGTATTTAGAAAAGGTATTTGCTCATAATTGTTGACACCGTCAGGTGGAAAATAGTAGTTGTAGTAGGGTTCCCCGGTGGGAAGATTGGGTCTGTTACTTTGTTTCCGTATCTTATGATTATTCCAGTTCTCAACAAACTGATGTAGCTTGGCCCGTATGATAGGCATATAGGTATAAAGAATAGCTATCATGTCCTCCAATTTGTCTTCTTGAAATAGGTTTTCCTGTTGAAGTGTACGGAAATATTTCTTTTTAATACCGATTAGTTATGTTCCTATATGTAATAGAATTGATTCACTTTACCTTCCAATCGGCTGTTGCCCCCTTTGTAAGCTGTCCCCACCAACTTTCTATACGGACATTTCTTGTTGATGTTCCATACCAAAATACCTCTGGGAATGTAATATCTGGGTTATGATCTCTGTGTAACTCCCAGAAAGATTCTGCCAGTAACATTGTTTCCGTCCCTCTGTCTGCTCTGATATGCAATGGCAAACAATTCTGTGTCTGCATAATCTCCAAGAACTGACTTAATACACTGACCCCCGTCTTGCCAGAAACTCCACAGTAGAACCAGGTTACATAACGGGAATATGCATCTATAGCAGCATAGATTTCAATGCCAAACATTTGCAGTTTGAGATGCCCATCAATAGACCAACACCAATTAGGTCCAGGACATATGAAATGCGCATGGTGTCTATTGACCCCCTTGAGTCTGTTTTCCACCCCGATTGGATCAACAATCTTCAAAGCTTGTCCTATCCGATGACTTTCAAAATCAGTTTAGTTTAGTTTGATAAAGGAATATCAAGCTGGTAAAGTCTTACTGTGAGGCCAAAACACCCATATTCCGTAGGTGCATCCAGACTGATCTCCGGCCGGCTAAAGTAATATTCCCCCTTTCCAATTCTTGCTCAATTATTTCTTGCAATTTTTGATCCGCATCATCATTTATCTCAGCTTGCGTTAACCTTCTATACATCCCCATAGATTTCCGTATGATACATAATCTCTTGAATTCTATTTGATAACCATGAATTTTTAAAATCTGGTTTTAAATCAGTATTTAAAAGATATTATTTTAAACTGTTGAGATTGCAATACATACCCGTAGGATTTTTTTATCACTCAGACACTTAATCCAAAATAGATAGGCAATCTCAACCCGCATAGAAGGTGTGTCCTGGCTACGGGTGTGTTTTTTAAAATTCCATTCTCCCAGCTTGGTCATAAGGGACCTGCGGGAGCATTTAATACCCATGTCAGTCAAGAATGACAATACTTGATTAATTGTTTGATCTTGTTCAACATAAAGCCGTTGGATCAAATCTTGATTTGCTGATAGTGCAGCCGCAACTGGTGATTGACGAAAAGTTGACATTTCGAGTGATAGATGATGACGGTGTGTGTTTTAATGAAAATTATATGAAATTGATGGCAATCAGAATTGGCAGTTTCGGAACAATGAAATACATTAGAAATGGTAAAAATATATCTTATATATACATAAATATGAAATTCTTTGAAATTCTATTGTGTTCTGTATTCACAGGGATATTTTTCAGAAGCCGAACATAACCGACAAACCCCACCTTGTATCCCGTAATTATTTTCAATACCAAATGAAATATCTTCTGATTTTATATCAATTTTAATCTCATCAATCATTCTACGATGTCGCCAGTTGAATATTGTTCAGAAAGAGAAAAGACTATCCATCCGCAGACCACCGACAAAGTTTTCCGTTGTTGTGGAGAACGGGTACCACCACATTTACTTCTACCAGTCTCCCGTAATTCAACAAAAGTCAAAAGGGAACCAATAAAAACTACAGCCGGTGGTTCAGCCTCTGCACCGTCAACAGAAACCAGGCCAAATAGAAGAGATAAAGGGAAGGGTAAAGCCTCACAAAATATTGAAACAATTCTTCTTCTTTCCAGCCCGACAAACTCACCAGAGAGGATTGTCAAAACAGGTCAGTTAACAGCCCGTCAGATTGTGGAACTTTACCGTCAAGGCTCAATTAGTAAAACTTCTACAGAATCGAAAAAACAGAACTCAACATTTGGTTTAGTGCCTGCCCTCACATCACCAGCCCCCGCCAGCAGACAAAGTACTCTCAAAATTACAGCTAGAGATTCCCGCAAGTTAGTCATATACGTTGGCTCTTTAGATGATAAATGGAGTTCATACAAGAATATAGGTAAAACAATCAAGTGTTGAAATGTCTCATTTGATTTATTTTAACCAGTTATATAGGTGTATCATCAAAGATATTTGAGGACTTAGATGAGCTCATTATCGATCACTCTGATTTTGCTTTCAGTCTCTTGAGCTCCTCTCCTAATTGGCAGGATGCTATCACCGCAGAGTCATTAGATATACATCAAGTCCTTGTTGCAACGCATTTCCACCCCAAAGATGGACCCCATAGGTTGGAGGTCAGGAGCAAGCCAATAACAGTTAGAGATTTTCTGATGGATTTTCCTGGAGGGCCGTCTACCAAAATTGTTTTGGTAGTCAAATACCAAACAGAAGAACAACGGGCAATCAGGATCAAAAAAGAGAAGGAGGAAACACAAGAGTTTCTCACTGCTGTACGGGCAAGAAGAGACAGGTTTGATTCACCAGCGGTTATCAAAAAGGAGCTTTCTATGAGAGTAGGAGAAAAGGTATATTATTTAATTCTATAGAATGGCAGCCGATTCATACTAATTATCCTATAGGCACCTTCCCCAGAAGACGAACATTTTACCAGTGATCCCCCATTGCCATCTACTCCTACATTAAAAAGAGATTCAACGGCTTTGACTCCTGATCTACCTGAGGAGTCAAATTGTTTACTTAGCTCTCCCCATTTAGAGTCCTCTCCGTCACCAATTGGTAAAGATATTCCTTCAATACTATTTGAAGGGAATGCTATACAAGAGATCAGAAAATCTAATCGGCAGCCAAAGAAGAGGAGGAGATTATATGAGGATAGTGATTAAACATTTTTGTATATAGTTAAAACAATCATTTTATTTCTCTAACTACTAATTGTTATTCTAATCTAAACAATTTCAGGAAATCTTTTAAGATATTCCTTTTTGACGGCTTCATGCATTGTTGAGACCAAACAATGTCTAAAACCGTACCAGTTAGTAGTAAAGTGTTCTAACTTTGTTCCCCTGATAAAACCAATTCCACCAGGCCTACAAACAAACTTCCTATTCATTTCCCTGATACAGAAATCAGCTCCCGTGAACTCACCCATTGGTGCCATTACCGCCCATCCATCTTTTAAATCACCAATATCATAATGAGGTTCAGTAAACAGATTAATCAAACATGCTCTCAAAGAGAAACATTCCTGATCATCAGTTGCCCACTGTTGTTTCTCCTCCTTTGGCAAGGCCGTGATCATTTTGACACAAATATCTCTGTTATCTTTGTCAACAGCACCAAGCAAAATTCTTTTGGCTCTGGTAAGATTGCCTAGTGAGGTAAAAAGGCGGAGGAGAACCGGATTCATGTGTTGAGATGTTTTGAGAGTATCTTTGGTGATGACAGCGTCATCATTATGACCTCTTTCCATCCACATACCCCAATGGTAAACACCAGCCCGTGACCAATCAGCCCAACAAAGATGAGGATTGGCAAGAAGCCAATTCTTGTACTCAGTATGCCTAATATCTTTAACACCGGGAATATCAGGTGGTTGGAGTTCAGCATACTCCTCAATGTTGTAAGTTGTAGACTTCAGAACCCAGTTCCCAATTTCAACTCCGTAGACCATCTCAAAACCATTGCTGAAGTAGACAAACATTCGGGTGTAATTTTTATCAAGGGCAAGATAAAAGGCACCGGGAACTGCTGGCACTTCAACTTGCTCATAAGTAAGAGCAACCTTATTGACCTCCTCTAAACTTTTGTTAACAAGAGTGCCAACTTTATTCAAAGGTTGAGAGATATCAACGTCAAAGAATACCTCAATGACACTCCCAATCTTGCCCTTGAAAATCTTAAAAGACCTGGCCCCGTTGGCTTTGGCCTCCTCACAAGTAGCCTTCATACCCTCAGAGAGACACATCCACTTGTTGATATCCCTTTCCAATTCCCGATCACTCTGTACTTTTTTGGGTACAGCAGATTGACTGGCAGCTTGACGGGCAGCTTGTCTGGCAAGGAATGGTGTGAACTGTTTGGTTATGATATCAGCCAGGCGGTGGCTTTTGACACAGTCGGCCTTCTTTTGACCTTGAAGGTAGGGAGGAGACTTGAGAGCGCCGGCTTTGGTATGCATCAGGGCGGGATTGGTGAACTTAGGCATTGCTGTAGTCAAATTAGCACCGGCAGCAGTCTTGCAATGCAATAAAAACTCACCTACTAAAGGTAAGGCTAAGTGGTCGGGAACAGGTGCTGGAGTTGACGGCAACAGACTTCCTAACCAGAAGTAAATTGAAGCTGTGCAATAAACTTCTCTACCAGAGGTTAGGTGAAGTGGTCGTGTATGGGTGTTGGTGGAGGGACCTGGTGTCAGCAGCGGACTTCCTTACCAGAAGTAAAGTGAAGCCGTGCAATAAACTTCTCTACCAGAGGTTAGGTGAAGTGGTCGTGTATGGGTGCTGGTGGAGGGACCTGGTGTCAGCAGCGGACTTCCTTACCAGAAGTAAAGTGAAGCCGTGCAATAAACTTCTCTACCAGAGGTTAGGTGAAGTGGTCGTGTATGGGTGCTGGTGGAGGGACCTGGTGTCAGCAGCGGACTTCCTTACCAGAAGTAAAGTGAAGCCGTGCAATAAACTTCTCTACCAGAGGTTAGTTGAAGTGGGCGGTGGTGTTCGTGGTTGGTTGGTGGTTGGTGGTTGGTGGTTGGTGGTTGGTGGTTGGTGGTTGGTGGTCGTTCGTGGAGTGTCACGCTGGTTGCCAAAACCCCGAATTCGCTAATTGCACTTTGGTAGTTACGAGCCGCCGTACAGGGGTCATATCTCGCTTATTTAAGCTTAAAACAACCAACTGCAGCACGTCACCACCACCTGTCGCTCACATGTGAGTGCACGCGCCAAGTCCAGAGTTCAGGACGGTGCATTGATAGATACTGTGATCTGAGAGGTCACATGTAGTCTATATGTTCTCTTCCTACGACAATGACAAACCTGGTAAAGAAGCTGGACATATAGGTCTATTATAGACACGTATGTACGTACAGAGAGTAAAGACTTTTAGCCAGAAATCTACGAGATTGTTCTGCATGCGTTAATTCCTTGGCCCGCATACTCTTGCTCACTACTCTCAGAGAAGAGAGGTTGATATATCACATCCAACTTGAACATCTTGGAAGTCTTGGCAATAATCTTTTGGTCGTTGCTTTAGAGTGGTGCCTAAATCTCTACATTCTGGTAATTGGGGCGCCTCGAATGTCCCACCTCGACCCTCAACGGCCCTTCCTGTCTCTGTCCAACAACTAACCCAATTGCTTAGGCAAAGAAGCTTCCTCTATGCCTACAGCATTTGCATCTGTGTACTGACGGGCATGTTCACTGCCACCTGCCTGATATGCTACCGCTATGGTAGCTTGCACCCACTGCCGCTCTTTTACACCGACTTTGGCGCTACATTCCTGTAGACATATTGCGCATGCGTGGTCACCACGAACCCCCCGGAGGCCGCAGATCACCACCCACCGGAGTACAAATGGTACATACTGACGGCGATGGTATTGATCGAGTTGTAGGTGTCCCCCCCCCCCTGTGCAGCTGTGATATGTGTCGATGTGTGTGCGTATGTGTGTGTGTGTGTGTGTAGATCATTGTATGAGATGAGCTGCGACTGATTATGCGGGCCTAGATATCTGCATATAACGACGACGGGGATTGCGCTCATGGTGTTGAGGAAGGAGAGGAAGAGGGCAAAGAGAATGGCACGGGCGGGGGTGGGGATGCCTGTCGGGCCGATGCCAGAGGCCATCGTGCCTGGAATGGTGGAGGCACCTGTGTGATTACGATTTGTCTTGTGGTAGGTGTTATTTGACTGTGTGGTGCCCGGGGAATATTATTATTTGTATGTAGGTTCGTCCAGGGGTGGGCTATGATGGGTAGTATCTGTCTGCCCTGCCTGCCTGTGCTTCTGTGGTGACCGCCCAAAACTAATAGCAGCCTCTATTGTGGACAGCCTTGAACGAGATGTTTGACTCGGTTTTGAAATCCCTTAAAATTTCTATCAGCACCTGTTTTATCTCCGCATGCCTCGGAAAGGAGGGGCGGTGCTCCTGGCGGTACGCCATGTGCTCCTTCAATGCCAGAACGTATTTTCCCCATTATTCTGATTTTGGGCTCATTATCCGGTATATTCGCTGTTTTGACTTTTCAGCTTTATTTAATCTCCTCTGTCTCGCTTGCCTACGCCTACCTGCAGTCCTATAGCACCGCAGACATACCACATATGATCAGGCGTGGGTTATTAGAGAAAATATATGTAGAGAAGTGTAGTAATTGAGCGTATTATTCCAACAAAATAGAGAAGGGGGAATACCCCATATTTATACTAAAGAAAGGTAACACAAAGACATAGTGAATCATAACCATATAAGTAATAGAAAGACATGACTAATAAAACCCAGAGAAAGAATGAGTCAAAACCCATGACTCATGATGACAAATGAAAATCCTCCAATACTATGAAATGTGCTGAGCGTACTATTTCAAGACTTCCCCTCGTGAACCACAGTGAATAGTAGAAGAAAATAAAACATGCTTAACCTTATCCAATCCCTTTGTAAGTAAATCCGCCACGTTTTCATTTGTAGAGATATATTCCAACTCAAACAATTTATCCTCGTATCGTTCCCGAACAAAATGAAAATTCACATCAATATGTTTAGACCTTTTATGAAAGACAGGATTTTTAACCAAGGACAAAGAACCATTATTATCACCACGAAGAATAAAAGAAAGTTTCGATTTCCGTTCCAACTCATGTATCGCATTCCTTAATCAGATCAGTTGTCGACTAGTATCCGAAAGAGCCATGTATTCTGCCTCAGTAGTAGAGGTAGCGACGGAGCGCTGCTTATAAGAACGCCAGGAGATGAGAGCTTCCCCTAGCATAAAGCAGTGGCCGGTAAATGAGCAGCGATCGTCGATGTCAGAGGCATAGCTTGCGTCACTGAAGCCGATGAGTGCAGTCAGTGGCGTTTTTGCGTAGAAGAGTGACCAATCGAGGGTACCCTTCAGATAATGAACGACGCGATAGACTGCAGCCAGATGAGCTTTGGTGGGACAGGAGGAAAATTGCAAGAGCATGGTGACGGTGTAGGCGAGGTCCGGTCTGGTACCGATTACTGCATACATTAATGAACCGATTATTGACTGATAGATTGTTGCATCGTCGATTTTCTCCGCTTCTGTTCCCTTTTGTAGGTGAACATTGTTGTCGATGGGTGTTGCCACAGGTCTCGATTCATCGAAACTGTATTTGATAAGTACACGCTTAAGATAGGCTTCCTGTGATAGGATCACGCCTGTCTTAGTGTGGATCAAGTGGATCCCGAGTGCCCAGTTGGCTGTGCCAGTTTCCATCATTTCGAATTCTGCGTGGAGTTGGAGGCTGACGCGGTTTTTGCGTTCAACGGACCAGTAGAAGATAAGGATATCGTCCACGTACATGGCGATGACAACTTCCCCTGTTTTGTGAATAAAAATACAAGAGTCGAAGTCCGATTTTCTGAATCCCATTCTGATTAGCGTTTTGGAGAGACGAGCATACCATTCCCGAGATAATTGTTTGAGGCCGTAGATACATTTGATAAGTCTGCATGCTTTACCGGGGTTAGGGTAGCTAGGTGGAGATTTCATGTAGATTTCTTCCTGGAGTTCGCCGTATAGGAAAGCGCTAGTAACGTCCATCTGATCGCATTGGCCGCCGGTTTGAAGGCAGCGAGCAAGAAGCAGTCTGATGGATTCGTATCAGGTAACGGGAGCGTAAGTCTGATCAAAGTCTTGACCAGGTACCT